GGAATCCTCGACCCTGGGGAAGAATAGCCCACGAAGCTCCTCTCCGTCTTTCACTGAGGCAGACTTCCTGGCTCATGTTCGGGAGGAGCGTCTGCGGAGTTCGGGTTCATCGATCCTTAAGGCGACACTATTCCCACATCAAGTGGCCTTCTTGTTGATCTCTGCAGGTTGCTATATGTTCCTATGAGGCTGGGTTATCGAGAAACTTCTCCAGTACTTGCCTTTTCGTGGTGCCCAACACAAGACGTTAGTAGTCGGGCGCCTGGCAGCCAGGACCCTGCCGAATGCACCGCCTTCCGGTACTCTTCTCCGGCAGCCTTCTCAGACGCAGTCTAGACGATGAACAAGACCCTCACTTGACTGAGAACTTTCTCCCAACATGGGGGTCCTAATGCAATAGTAAGGCCTTCACGACGAGCGTGTATTTCTGCATCAGATCGGGGCCCGTGGTTTGATGTCAAGACAAGTCCAGGAATTTTGGGTTTACGGTTTCTTGAGATACCAGGTGAGCTTGGGGACACTTGCCCCAGAAGTATTATACAGACATCGTTGGATTCCCGCACAGAACAACAGTCCTTCAGAGTCTCTTTCTTGAAGATCGACTCATCAAGGATGTGGTTGCGGCAGCAGCGAGGGCCTTGGTCCAGGCCGTCCACCAAAGGGTTTAGGGTTTAGGGGCGGTGGTAAAGGCCCGATGCAAAAGAGGGTTTAGGGGCGCATGTGCGCCGTGAGCCTTTCCAGCCTTCCAACTCGTCGACGCCCAATTCCTGCGACAGGGGCCTTACAGTGAGGAGGACAAGCGTCGCCGTGCCCTGCATGTGCCGACTCCCCAGATTTCCGTAGTCGGCCGTGTTGGGGATGGAGAGGAAAACAGATCTTGAAGATTCTGGGATGAGCTGTTCCTGTGTTACTGCTGCACTTGCTCCGATTCGAGCTGGTCGTGGTGATACCATTCGAGGCTCCGGCTCGGGTGCAAAGCTACGGGTTCGTTGGCGGCTACCTCTGCCAAGGGTAAGCTAAGGAAAACCGAAAGGATCCCATGTCCAAACCTGAACTCAGACGCTTCGCCCGGACTGAAGAAGCTGTGAGAGTCAAAACCTGTACCGTAGCTTTCTATGCGCCAGTTCGCATAGGTTGCGCGGGGCTACGATGTCGCCGAGCACCTAGTGCGGACTGTTTGAAGGGGTCGAGCCGGTTAATTCAGGGTCTCACGAGTCATGAGTTGCTGCGGTGAAGAGCACAGCGAGGCAAATGGGTGAAATGAAGTTTAGCACCGGTCAGCGATAGCCCGAAGCGAAACACTGTCAGGAAACTGTGGTCGCAGAATGTCGTGAAATAGCACACCTTGTCATTGTTAAACGGCTTGCAACGGCAGTTGTTGTGTTAAGCGAACTGCTTGCATGGAGCAGCGTTTGTATCTTCCGGCCGGCCTCGTACATGTCGATGCATTCTGCACTCGATGAAACGACGCACCAACTACAGATTCCATGACCGACAAGTGTTTGGCGTTAAGAGCCGATGCAGATAGCATCTGCGACCGAAATGACACATCAACTCCAGATTCCATGACAAGAGTCTTGTGAAGAACGAACCGATTTGCCATGAGGCCCTGCGAAAGCACACGAAGTATCGCTTCAGAGGCAGCCTGGAGCTCGGAGCTGCTGGGGGGCAAAGTGACTGGTTACGGGGAAAAGAGCTCGTCCATCGTGATCAACCTGAATCAGGGTTTTAGGGTTGAGGGTTTAGGGTGGTGAGGCCTGGATGCAAAAAGGGTTTAGGGTGGTTCGGTAGGGATCCTGCAGGCGAGACATGGAGGCTGCAGGCTCAAGGTTCGACTTGCACATCGTCATTTCGTGTCGTTGCTGCTGCTGCAGCAGCTGCTATTGCACGAAGATACTGATGTGGGTAGCTTATGATGTCTATGACGTGCTGGTGTTTCTTGGAGACTTGCGGTTCTCATGTCGAATGTTGCATATAAGTATATGCTGTTGCTGCTGCTGCTGTTTTCAGAAAACCATGACACATGATCGGCCGAAGCTTTGACTTAGCCAGTCGCCTGCCGTTGGTCAAGCTGCATAATCCAGAACCGCCTCGACTTGAATTCCGGAGCCAACAATGACCCAACTTCCCAACAGGTGGACCAGCTCCGACAGGGTGACGGCAGCAGCTTGACTAAGAACTGCTGGGGATGTGGAAGGTTTTGGGGTTGTGAATCTGAGACATTTTCTGTCCGTGTTGCCTTGTTTCCGTGCACAAGCACTCAACATCTTTTCACTCATGCGTTGGTTTTGTCATATCCGGTGAGCCTTTCCTTGCAAAGACCAGCAAGTCCGACGGCGAGTGTTGATGCATGTGGTAGGTTGATTGCAAATCATTCCAAGAGCCTTCAGTGAGACAGCCAGCACAGGTGTGGACCGGTTGATGGCCAACCTCGCGACGGGAGCTTTCGCAACCTGGTGGCATCCAGTGCCCATAGTGTGGCGAGATGATGTCTTCGTGTTGGACTTTGTTCCGGCCGCGCAGAGGCTGAAAACCAGAAGAGGTAGTGAGAGTAAATTTACCTCCATAATTTGCGCAGGTGTCAACAATTGTGGTGTGCGCCGTGGCATCTTATGCTGAGGCATTAGCGCTGTTTCTATGTTCGTGCAAAAGAGAGCTACGTCGTAGCTTCCGAGAGAGCTTACGTATGTCATAACCCCCTACCCCTCATCACCAATAGTGCGCTTGACCTCTCTGATTCTCACCCCTCCCCATTCCTTAAACAGTCGATAGTGTAAGCCTACTGCGCTATTGTCAAAGAGCCCAGTCCACAAGCTAAGCATCCACTATCACTATCCACAAAGCTCTGATGCCATGCGGCTCCAAACTCAGACTCAACTCTCAAGGCTTCGGCGCATCAGAAGCCAAATGAAGCCAAGCTCTCTGCCCCGCCAAAAATAACATGCCAAGGCAGCGCATCTGAAGTTCGAGGACCTTGTAGAGTGCATGATCACCGAGTGGTGCTTCGGCGTCCAATCCGGATGATCCTAGTTGGGATTCCCCCCAACCCTTCATGTTGGAGCAGCCCCCAACGAGAGGGTGTATGGTCATGCTGAGTCCTTGTGTCTTTTTATCATGATGTTTGCAGAACCCTGCAATGTGTGTCTATGAGACGTGAAAGCCTCGAAGACTACGAAGCGAATCTGCCAAACCTTTCCTCAAGCGTCGATTACGTAGACATGTCTCGCACTGGAAGACGAAACATGGGAGCCCTAAGTTTATGCCTTGTCTAGACTTGTCGATAGCCTGCGAAGAGGTGGTTGGACACATCTCCTTTTTTGGTGGAAAAAAGAATAATTCAGAGTTCGGGAAAATCTTGGCTTAGGGCAAAACAGGATGAAAAATCCATTGTGTGGAACATGATCAGTTGCGGGGCTTTTCGGCACTGAAACCCCAGTTTGATACTGTGTCTCCTACTTGTGCTGATTTAAATGAAAAATCAGGGGGAAACTCTAGGAAAGCATGGGTGCAACATAGGATTTTGCCGAACTCGAACCATGTCAAGTGCTTCTTTTCAATCGAAACCTGGGGTTGCTACCGACATCTTATTTTACTCCATTCCTTTCATTTTTCTTCTTCTAGAAGCAAAATCGGTAACAAAAATTGATACACTATAGGAAAACAATAACCATGTTCGTCACATTTTTCGATGTGCACATAGGAAGGATTTTTTTGTTATTTCTGAGAATCAGGGTATCCAAAAGTAGCTATTGAATCAGCAATTGCTATTCAATGGGTTTGTGGCTCTATATAGCACAGTACTGCAAAGCCATACCCCAAGTCCTGAGTCTCGAGCTGGTCTGGGAAGCAGCTAGTAGTCAGCCAGTCTTTACTCGTCACAGCAAGATATTTTGCAATCTGTTCGGGCCGATTTAGGGAAAATCATTTTGAGGCTCCACCGTGTTTTGTTGGCGGGGTCTTGGCCGTTTCAGGACCTTCTGTGGACTTGTGTTAGTTGGTGCTCTCTGAGGCCCTGGCCGATAGAGCCGCTGATGTCAACTTTCGAAGGAGCTCATGGAAGGCGCGTCTAGGGTCTGGGTTAATGCGTCTCTGTGTGTGTGTGTGTGTGTGTGTGTCTGTTTTTGTTGTTGATGCTTGCCTTTTTGCATAACGAAGTTGGTTGTGTTGAGGAATTCTCAGGGTTGCTCTCCGTGTTGTCTTGGCTCTTCCTGACACTTGTCAGGAAGTATTCTTTGTGCCAGCGGTCAGAAGACTTCCAAAAACCTACCGGCCTTGATGCAGGGTGATGCTGGGCAGAATCAAGCCCATGGATGTGCTGTGGGTGCCGGTCCCTAGCTGTGCCAGTCCTCCACATCGTCTGGCGCGCGCATTGCCGAGTGACTTCCCTCTGAAGCCCTTCACCTAATCATCTGCCGACATCCTTACAGAAGAGCTAGTCGCACAACCTGGAATCCTAACGAGACAAAAAATGACCACGAACGGATATGGGATATGGGGTTGAAGTTGCATTTTGCGGATTGGACTCGTCATAATTTTGGTTGGGCGAGGAGGCATGCCTGCGCCAGACCACAGAGCAAGTTGCCTGATGTATAGGGGGCGAGCTTAAGACCTCCTGAGTCCCGAGCGGCTTCGGACAGCAGGCCGTGAATTTACTTAAGCATGCTGTATGGCTCCAGCTTTGTCAGCAATCACAAGCCATGTCATGAGACCATTCACAGAGACTCTTGACCGTTGATGACCGCTCCGGGAGTGTGATGTCAGATGTCGTCAGATGTTGTCGGTCATCAGAATCTGGCATTTTGTGGCCCTCAGTGTGGTGTGATCTTACGAAGTGTTGGGGGTGTTGAGCGCAGTCAGTGGCTATCGGCACAGACTACTCACTTTCAGCCTTCATAAAAGAAGCATGTGCTGAGTAGACACATCTGAGCAGAAACAACTGTTCTCGAACGGCAAAATGCATTGACGCGAATTCAGCGAAGCCTCTGCGCCCCCTACATGCCATGGGTGGCGCCCTCAGGTGGAGGACGGAGCATGGCGCATAACAGTAAGCTCGCCTGGCCACATGGATGTGCAAGACTACTGCTCCTTCTAGCTGGGGATGGGCCCTTATCTCTTCGGCTGTGCATGTGCAGACACAGGCATCCTCTCAGGTTCTCCCCGGTCCGTAATGCCATGCCTATGCGGGCCAGGGTCGGTGGTGCAGGTTCCACGGCATACTTGTAGCTGCAAACGGCGAAGCAGGACGCATAGCTTTGGGGTGTTGAGCCTTGAAGGACTCTTTCGCGTGAGAAGCTATCCGTCTGCTGGCATTCCAAACCTCATAATTTCCACACCACAAGCAAGCCCGACACCACCTTCCAGCGGTCTGGACTTGTCTTGAGTTGAGCTCAGACAGCCTACCTTGTTTCGAGCACAGGTGTCTGCAACCTGCTCTATATGTGGCACTAGCCTGTAGCTTGTTTGTTTCTACGGCATGATTTCTGCCAAGAGTCCGCAGCCTCAACGGTTTCAACCCCACATGGGGCTGAAGACCTCTGATGCATCTCTGAGGGCAAGCATGCCAGCGCCGGTCTCGCGAAGAACTGCAGCCGAAGCAGTCGCCTATGCCGGCACAGGTCTGAGAGAAGTCGCGCAGCTAGTTTTTACAGGAACGCATCGTGAAAAGGGCGCCGCGTCGCCGAGCATTGTCACTAAGCTCACATAACTATCGAGGAACCAGTCGGTCGCATCGGTCTTTTAAATGTTGTTGAATTCGGTTTGTTTCTGCAGTTGGCATGACTGTCGGCAGCATTGGTCTTGGTGGATGTTGGTGTTGGAACCGTGTTGTAGTTCCATCTGGAATCACGAGCTGTCGATGCATCGGGTTGGTATACTTGCTAGGGGGGGGGGGGGTATTACCGAGTTCAACGTTTCGCTGAAGTATTGGCAGTCTGTTAGTTTGACCACTCGTCGTAAAGCCTCACGACAGGTGAAGCGAGTGTTACATGGTTACATGTTGTCAGACATCAGGTAACCCTCGCTTCATGGTGATTTCTGTAAGTGTATACCAACGACCTCTGGTTATAGAGTCTATGCATCATGCAGACATCTGCCTCACCACACTTGACATGGTTGTGTTGTTCGTGCTCGACGCTCACGTGTTTTACTAGCGAAATCAGGTGTTCCTGGTTTGCTTACTAAATAGCCGAATGTGTCCAATAGACCATTGAGTATGCACAGAGGCCGACAGCTTTGTTGGGGATGGGCATCGGCGCCTATGTGATTCGAAAGACATACGCAGACGCAAGTACATTGCGAACACGCCCTGTTGTGAGTTGGGCGACCACGTTATTCTGTAGTGAAGGGCTCAAAGAAGGCAAGTTTCGGTTTTCGGGAACCCTAAACCGTAGGATCTCTGTAGCACCGACACGCACCAAAGACCTCGTCTGGCTTGTTCCGAGTTGCGAGAGCGTAAACCCTACGGTTTAGGGATGTACGATGTACTTGCCAAGAGCATTCAAGACTAAGATGTTGCATCCGAAGGCTGCCCCGGAGCTGGTGGTAAAGCAGCATGACCCAAAGAGGTACAACAACGACTACTCGCGGCTTCTCGACCCTGACAGTTAGTGTGGGTTCCGTCTTCTGTTTCAGGGGTAACGGGGTTTGTTACAGTGTTTGGGGGCATGGGTAAACGGACGGAATCTGCTGTGCAGTGTCGAATTTCAACATCCATCAACTCGCAAGCTAACGATCTCTTTTCAAGGGCCGTTTCCCAAGGCGAGAACAACACGATACAACACAGTCTGTGGGATCAGGGTCGAGGTTTCTTCTTTTTGTGCGAGTCGCCGTAGGGACCGAACGATAGTCTTGTGGTGGGTTGGCAGCTACGGGTGCCGTGAACTATCGCAACCAATGTGACCAGTTTCTTAGACCAGGCACGTTGGGAAAAAGGGGCCGGTCGGCCGACTGGGAAGAATGATGATGATGATGACGAGATTGTGCCGTAGGCACGGGCACGCGATGTCAGTGTTGCTATGACTGGCACAAACAGGCCATGACAACATGACGACAACATGACATGTCAGTCAGAAATGCTGGCAGATCATTCGCATCATCACTGCCTGCAGAGTCAGCAACTTGTCGTTATCACCATCGTTGCTGCTGTCACAGGCACCGTTGACATCAGTGTCATCATGTAGAACAAGAGCTTAAAGCGTTTGTTTTCATTCACACGCATTAGTTCCTTGAGTCACGATTCAGTGGGTGCAACATAGCTCTCGCCGTCGTACCAAAATATGCCGTGCCGGGAACCAACCAGTTGCTTTCCTTAGCGGCAGCTGTGTTTTACAGCTGCTCAAAGAATAATACCAGTTCGCCATGAAACCTTCAGCATCTTGGCGAGTGGCTGTCCCTAATGGCACATCATCACTATCACTATCAGCATCATCACGCACCTCGGACAAGGTCCGCTTGCGGTTCGCGACCATTTGTGTCCTGCTCATATGCCCAGTGTAGCCAGTGTAGAACTCAAAGTGCAATGTTACACGCGGCTTGAGCATACACGAATTGCAGGCACTTGCTCTTAAGGGGTACTGGAACGTGGAGGCCCGCATGACCCCATGTGTGTGACCTAGGTTTGCGAATATCGAAGACTCCGAAGAGGACCGTTCGGCGATTCCCCATTTGGATGGATGGGTGGGTTGGTGGGTTGGCAGGCTGGTTGGGGGGCGGGGTGGGGCAGGAGCTTTGGGTGCTAATGCATTCATCATTCTGTATCCATGAGTTCAATGACACTTTATATCTACATGTCTACGCAGCCTATGCATGTACATCAACACATTGTAGTATTATATGTATAATGTATAATATAACTAATACATACATACATGCGTACTTCTGCAGATATGTGCAGATGCAAACTGGCCGCCCTGAGATCCCTAATCCGTGACCGTTATAGATGGCCATATGCTTGCATGTGCTTACAGCCTTCACCAGCCGTGAAGTATAGTTGGATCAACATTTATAGTAATTGATGTAAGCTGCGGTAGCTGCAGGAGGAAGAGCCGCAGTCCACAGGCGTCAACACGGCTGAGGCAACGCTGGTGCTGTGCTAGACGACACCGGCTTTGCCTAGATTGCTTGTAGGATCTGACAACAACGCCTCAATTGGAAGTTCGACATGCTCAGATACAGTCGTCGTGGTCGTGGTCACAGTCGATCGAAACCATAGTTGCAGCAACCAGCTCAGATGCGTGTGTTAATGTTTCATGTGTGTTCCACCGTAGGCCGTAGGCTGAATCTTTGCAGAGCACTTACGACTTACTGCACCTGCGATAAGATGAAGACTCCAACACCCTCAGCCCCTCGACCCCAGACGAGCAAGGCCTCATCCTGGTCGCAGAACTCATCAAGCCAGGAACTGGCCCCGCCAGAGCCGCCGGAGATGGGGAAGATGAACCCGACGCAGGACTACCTTCCGTGTGCAGGCTTCTTGTCGGATATGCGGAGGCAAAGTCGCAGTTGGGGATCTAATTTGGGATGGTTTAGCTGGTAAAGTACGTACCCGTGCGACGATGCTAAGCCTCCTCAGCCCACTAAGCCCTACAGTGTACCCTCCCGCAATCATGCCCGTTATCTCACACATGCTTGCTGATGCTGAACCTGTCGATCAGATTGGCAAGCTGCGACAGCTGTGTCATTTCCCAGCTACATGCAACTTGGAGCTCGATGCCACCTACGGCATTCACATGCCGGGTGTGGCACCTCCTTGCGGGCCTGTGTCCTGTGCTGTTCGAATTCGTTGCATGGAGGCTGCGGGTTTCAGCTGCTGGTGGTGTTCTGATCCTTGGTCCCGGCCACTGGTTTGTAGATTTCATCTGCGTCTGATGCTGCAGAGTACGACGCTCCTAAGTCAAAGCTGATCTGATAGGACCAGCGGCGCCGCATCAAAGTGCCCGGACTACAACTGAATCAGCAATTGCATTCGTCTCGACTTAATGCCTAGTCCGCAAATGTCCCGAATAGTCCTTTAAGTAGCTGTGCCATTAACATGCCTGGCGTCTGAACAACAGGGGAGAACAGTTGCAAAAAATACCAGACCCGTATCCGCTGCAAACTTGACTTGTCGGTGGATCCGGGCGTTGTAAGTCCCCTAGGTGCCGACGTCATGTCCGTAGCACATCGTGTGTCACCAGTTCTTGTGCTTGTTGTGCGCGGCTGGCTGTCCATGCAAAAGCAACTGTACGGTGCTGTAGGTCTCGGTGGTCGGTGCAGTATAGTCCCAAGGTGTTTGGGGAAAGTTTACTGCAGAGGGTTAGTTCCGTGGCTGCTTTGCCGGCTGGGAGCAAAGGAAACTGCGACAGCAGCACTGACAGCATGTGCATGACACCCAAGCAGCGGTCCTACCGCCGCGACACTGCTGCCCCCATTAGTACTGCTGAGACTACCACCGCTGCTACTGCTGCCACTGCCGCAACCGCAACAATCACCAACGAACGATAGCTACCTGGATCACCGATTGCAAGTTGAGGCCACCATGATTCATGGTTTTTTTGGCTGCCCAGTAGTTCAACTGCGACGTTTACTGAGCAGCGAAGACAACCAGTCCTCGAAAACTCGTTTCTACCGCAGTGTCCAGCTCTTGACAGACGAGCTCGTTTGTCTTGCCCGCTGGCCACAGCAACCGAGGACGACATCATGGAGCTTTGTCGCAAGAGAGCCATAGAGGCATGGCGCCAGGAAGCATGTTTGGATGCATGTGTCAGTCGCAGATGCGAATGCATTTCCCAATTCCTTGTGGGAGTTTCCGAAAACTAGGGGTGCCTTATCTTGGGCTCCTCATAATTACTGTAGGATCATACTATTTAGGGTACTATATGAGGGTCCCCTATTTTCGGAATCTCCCATGTTCTGGGCTGCCGGCTCAGGGATCAGCAGTTTAGTTCCTTGTTCTTCTAGTTTCTCTCAGACAAGCAAGTCGTCTCTTCAAGCTTCTAAGCGTGCCGGGCAAGCACGTACTAATGGATTAGGATTGAATCGCACTCTCCGAGCCGACGCGCCAAGCCTTCAGCGGGATAGCAGTGCCTGGCGGCGCCGTGAGCAAAGCAAAACGTGGTTTTCAACAAGATGGCGGCATGATCCGTACAATGAGCACTTTACTTGGGCCTAACTTGTATTCCGAGACCTATTACACCCTGAACCCTCAACTATTCAGTAGAGAGCTTAGAGCTCATCAGGGTCAGAATCCAGCCTTTCTCATAGATATGAGGTTTTCCAACAGTTTGCCGGCCCCTGCAGAACATGAAGCAAGTGCCGGAACCGCTGGTGGGAGCCGAGCCGCCGAAGGCAACTGCCCCCTTGAGGCATTCAGAGGTTCTTGTGAACTTGCCTATCACTAATGCTGGCACGGTGGAATTGGCCGATTGTGTTTTAGGGGTTTGGGGTTGCAGGATCATTGTCCCAAGTTTGCTCAAGAAGAAGTGGTCATAGCGTGCTGTCGGGTTTTCCTGTGGGGATTGCAAAGCAGATTCACCTTTCCACAAGAACCGACGAAAATACCACGGAGTTTCAGACCTTTGGACCAAAGTGGTGTTTAAGGCAAACGTGAGGACAGGGTGGTGTTTAGCTTCTTTTGTTTTGTCCTGCTCCAAAGGCTCCCTTGGTAAGTTTTCCGGGACTCTGTGTTCTTCAAGTTAGTTTGCATAATGGTTTGTGCTTGTCTCTGGCATGCACATACCGAGGCATGCAAGCTTCCACCGGACCACAAGCAGCTGCTCGGCTCCAGCACCCTCGATCTTCTAGGGCAGCAAGACCGTTCGCATGGGTCTTTGCTGGCTCGGCTGCAGGATATGGCTCCTATAACTCGACAGTCCCTTCCGGCTACGTTACCTAGCCGATGCAATGCATGAAACATGTCGGCTTGTTCTGAAGTCAGTCTGGACGGAACATCGCCCACCGATATATCTATAAGAGCCAGCAGTGGCACCACAGGTTGAGAATGTTCGCTCTTTACTAGCTCAGGTTTTTGCTCTCGGTATCAGAGCGGTCGTGCTATCGACGTGGCTTTCTTGTCGGGCGAACCAGTATTGGCCAGCGTTACTACTGTAATCTACAGTACAGCAGTGACGGGCGTTGTCCCATGCGATCATCTTGGACTCGATCCCAGGCCGGTGGGGACACTCACGCTGGAGCAGCTTGCGAAGTATTCTTGCAGCAACGAACCTCGGCCTGAAGAGAGAGAGCGAGAGTGAGAGAAACAGAAACAGACAGACAGACAGACAGGGACAGAAACAACAAAAGGCATTAGCATCATCAGTTTGCCTCATCCTTGGCAGCACAGTACCTCGGGCTCATGAGTCATGTTGGAGGGAGGGCTATCTCGCAAACAGGTTCGCAGAGCGATCGGGCCTGTTGTGAGCTTCGGAGAGCTTTTGGTTCGTGACCCGAAAGCCTTTGTTCAAGTCGTTCCGCCGGTGTGTCAGCATCGAATATTGACCGGCGTTATGACAGGTGCTAAGAGAAAGCTTCCAGAACAGCGGGTTCGTATTGTTTCTCAAGCGTTCCCGCTATTTTCTGCAACTCCAAGCTCTCGTCGCTTCAGGACCGAATGCTTCTATCTTGCCATGGAGACATCTTCGATGTGCTGCGAGCTTACAGCGTACAAGCGCAAGTACATCAATGACCAGCCCCTTTTCAAGGCTTTGCTTTGGGTAGAGATGGAAGTCGAGAGAGCGTTCCTGCAGTGCTTGCGGTACATCCACTCATCCACTGGTGGCATGCGTGAGAAAGCCAGGCATGGACCTGTCCTTTTAAGGTCCGATCGGCCTGACATCTACGGATACGGCCCAAAGTCCTGGCAAGCGGGTGGCCAGCTTGCAATGTGATTTCATGTCCGGGTTTTGTTGACGTAGATGTAAACGTAAAAGTATCCTGGCATTATGTTTCCAGACGTGTTCAGCTGATTTTTCCTGAGTTCGTACTGGTTTGCAACGTTTACGGCCACCAGTGACGAGGCAAAGACATCACCTGGTCTGTGGTCACTGGCAAGGACCGGCGACGATGTAGGCTGCTATGCAGTTCCTGTCAACCGTAGAAGGGCATTGAAGCCGTTTGATGACCAGGTTGAGCTTTAAGTCTGGGTCTTGTTCCAGCACAATTACATGCTCGAGGCCTTTGAGGTTGCTTGTCGTCGCTGCAGTGGTGGCCTGTATACAACCGATAGACATGTTAGTGCATCGCCACGGTTGGGAAGACAGATACGGATAAAAAGGGCTTGCGATTTCCGAAAGGTAAGCGCAGAGTAGAGGAGCCCAGAGAAAGGAACATGACTTTGGAGTAGCACGTGCTAAGAGCAGTCTCAGCAGAAGTTAAGTTGTAGGGGCAACAGCAGTCGGTATGTACCCTCACTGACTGGCTGGGTCGGGAGCTATTTGGGTTCAGCGACGCAGTACTTCGTTTTTTCTGTTCAGATGAATGCTAGAATCAACCTTGCTCGTACAGCCTACATCAGCTGGTGCACCTTCGCAGGGTCGTGTGTGTGCCTTGTGAGGAGCAGCCGAACCAGTGCAACCGCCCCTCGGTTGCGCATGACTGACCTGCCTGTTGTCCAGAATACCAGCAGCAATATCAAATTCCTTGCCGGGAAGTGCGTGGTGAGCTTTATGCCTGACTCTTGCACGTATTTGCTTGTTATGGTGCTGATGCAGTGAGGCATAAAAAGACTGGCTTTCTATTGCAGTCAGTATGCACCGATGCATGTATGTGCTAGAATGCTTTGTGTACGCAGCCCGCTGGAACCAATCCGTTTTTGGCTTCTCCTGTTGACCATCACGGCTTGTGATCAGTGGAGGCTTCTATGACGTCTTTAAGTTGGACTCGGACCATTGTGGTCGATACCTGCAGATGATTTGTTCCCGGCTTCTGTCCTTGCAGGCTGGATCCTCAAGGGTGTAGCTGCCAACCCGAAAGATCGTCACTATCACTCAGAGCACACAAATGTTTCAGTGCGAGCATGTGCAAGCTTGCGTGAGCAGGAATCAGGAATCTGTTCCAAAGACACAGAGACAGAGAGGGGTTCAGGTTTGCGAATCTGATGCTGGTAGGCCCACCAAATCATTAGTAGACCACGGTTTAAGCATCACGCCACGTCATCTCACTGGTACCTCACCTTTGCCACCGCCCCTGATCGACATTGCCATCTTTACCATCACCCTCTCCGTCAATATCTGGTTCTTGGAGTTGTCACCCGCGGGGCCTGCCTGAGGCATCCTGAGGCTGAAAGCTAGACTCGCCTAGGCTTGCCGGAACAGCTTGTTTCTACACGGAAATCTTCAAGTATCGCGGAGAACTACAAGAGTGTCTCTGAAACTCCTTGAGTTCCCGGACACTTCCTTTTTACTCAAAACCCCTCGTGCAGCTGGGCCTATGATTATACCCTGTGTAATTGCATGCATGGATCGGACGAATTGCCGGTTTCTCTTTCGCCCCCCTTGCCCTACAGTGGAAAGCCTCAGCTCTGCGTCGTTTGCCGGACTTCAAGGACGACTTCGGAGAACCCGTCGGGCGTTTGGATCAGCTACGCAGCCGCAAGAAACGAAGACCTCAGTGACGACCCAAAGAGCTCCGAAGATGGCTTTGGAGTTTGTGGCAGAACAAGAGCTGCAATACTGAGGAGCTTTCCTTCCCGTGATCGGAAACAGGGTTTGTTATTTCCGCGGTTTGATGAAGGTGCAGTAAGAACTCCGGGCGACAGCCGTGTGAAGATGGCGTGAGTTTTGCTGAACGACGGGGAAGCACAGAACCTTCGAACTAAGGTTCGTGAATGAGCGGCTGCTGCCGGCTGCCCCGACGAACGAAGTGGAGGACTGCAAGCAACAGCTTTTTGTCAGCAGTGGCTTCTTCGAGGGGAGACTGTTGAATGATTCTGAATTCAGACAGACAGCACAGGCTGCAGCAGCGGACAGAGAGCTTATGATTACGACAAGCTCTATGTTTTGCATCTGAGGTGAAAATTCTGCGGCCGCAGGCAGCAGAGAATCTGGCAAAACGGAGGGATGCCTGCGGTGCTCAGGGCTTGAAGTTGAAATTCTCGCTGGAGTGCACTCGCTTCTGGGTTGGCTTGCCCAGAGCTCTGCCCCAAAAAACTGCAGCGTGACTATTCCCAACACTCGCCATGGGGTGAGTTCGACCGACTCCAATCAGGAGGCGTTGCGCCAAGGTCCAGCAAAAGACCTCTCGATCCGTAGTGTCTCCTCAATCGGCCGAATCGCTAAAGCCTTGCCTATATAAACTTGTCGTATGATGTCGCGTTATAGAACCCATAAAGACTTTTGGCTTAATGCAATCCAAAACCCCGTAAGAAACTACGGCAGGGACTTCGGGGGTTCCTGTTGCTGCTGCTGTTTGAGGTGCCCGAGGAACGGCCTCGCAACCTTCCCCACGCAGTCCTGTGCTGAGGGGTTGAAGGTTCGGGGTTAAGGATCGAAGGGTTAGGGAAACCGTGCATGTACACTTCCGGCCTGTAGCTGGCCGCAGAGTTTCAAACACGGTTTTAAACCCTATAACTATAGGACAGGGGTGTGAGGGTCTGAGAGGGGCCTTGGTGCGGGCGGTGGCTGGGGTCTGAAATGGTCGACGACCCATTTTAGACCTTTCAGCACAGACCCATTTCAGAACAACCTGAGGGGATACAGGCGGTTCATTGCTGACCATCAGCTGCGGCCTTGAGATGGCACCCCCCGCACTTGTAGAATGGCAGCCCACGCAAATGCAGGCCTCGAAGAGTATTCATGGAACCTCCCTTGCAGCCGTGGCTCAGCAGAGGGTTGAGACTCAGGGCCACGAGTAGTCATAAGCTGATGAACTTGACACCGGTCGTTCCCGAGAGAGGTAGATCCCACGTAAAGCAGCTGAGCTTGTGTGTTTGTGTGTGTGTGGAAAGTATTATTCCCAGACATATGGGCCTGGCCTCATACTAAGTTACTGAGTGCCGCTATCGAAAATCTGCCAGAATCTACCAATGGTGTTTGGCCCTTGCCCCTGATGTACGGTTTTGGTTGGGCGCGTCACTTCAATACACAGCAACTAGTAACTAGATATGTATATGGATACATGTATCTCATATGACAGGATGCTTCCACAGGTGCTACACGGGGATACGAGTGCTGGTTATTGGACGTAGGGTGGGCCCTGCAGCTGGCTAAGCCATGCTGTCCACCTGCGGCGATTGCCTCTTTGCTGCATTGGCTTCGGGGAGCTTTCTATGGTGGGACAGCCATTCCGCTTCTTCCTGTCAGCTGCACTTGAAGTGCATGCACCATGGCATGAAAACCATAACAAAAGCCGACAGTCTTAATCATCCCTTGGAGTTGCATTCTTATTATTATTATTATTATTATTATTATTATGAAATAAGAGCCTTGTAAGGGTCAGGAGAAAGAAGGCCTTGCAGATGTATTTTTGGGGCACATGCCAGGCCATGGCCAAGTTCCTGCGACCGCTGCCGAAGCGGTGCCTCTGGCGAAGAGGAAGAGACGAGAGCCGAGGGGGTGCTCTTTCATGTTCAAAATGATTAAAAGGATTCATTAGTGTATGTAGGGGCCTTAATGATTAGAATCGGGGTTTTGGGGATTCCTTATTATTTATCACCTGACATCTCTGTCCCCATGCGCAAGCATGACACAATCTTTCGAGCTCACCTGACACGGCGGCTTGGTGTTCAAGCATGGGAAGACTGCTGCTCTCCTCGACTTAAGAGCATCTAGGGATTCTAGATGCATGTAGTATTGCCGGAACTTTCAGCCCAGGTCCCACTCCTCAACCCCTATGTATAGAGCTGGGCTTCGAAGACTGCTAGTGCCTTCTACGACCGAGCAGCAAGCGCGCTGAAATAGCACTGCAAAGCACCCCACGAAGCTCGAGCCTTGCACTTCTCCTTCGAGCCCCAAGCCGGAGAAACTCGCAAACTTCTGTGCTTGAGGCATTGCGGCCGCAGTCTGCAGCCTCGAAGACGACGTTTCCCAAGGAATCGTCTCTCATCGGGGCAGTGGAGGCACCTGCAGTGTAGCTTAGACGTGCCAGCATTCCAAAGACCCCGGAGCGTAGAGTACAGGAACGATGGAGTGTTCAGGAAATTGTCAACTGTCTTTGAACTAGTATCACGGTACTGCAGTTCTGCTCAAAGAGGATCCTCGTAATCGACAGGTTGCGATCCAGAGCGGGCTCTGTGCCACGAACCCTTCCCCCTAAGCAACGACGAGCATGCTTTCAGGTGAACCCGGTGCTCTCTGAGTTTGACCTCGCTCTGCAGAGGCTTCGCTCGCTGCACGAGGAGAACTTGACATGACATCATGTAAGCCTTGAGGACTTCGGATGCCGCACGATCACATCGGGCAATACAGAGATAGCAGCAGCATCAGGTTGTTTTGTACCTTCTGCCCCTACACTGTTGTTACTTGCAACCGAAGCATCTCTTCGCTAACCTGCGGGCAGACTTGTAGCAACAACAAGATCCCTGAGCGGCAACAATGCATTGGCAGGAGCACTTGCTGAAGCAACAGTAATGACTAGTAACTGACTAGTAATGACCACAGGTATGCTGATATATTGGTGGTCAGTTGTAGCCTGTCGTCATCGTAGTAGCAGTCGTCGTCGTAGTAGTAGTCGTCGTAGTAGTAGTAGTAGCAGTAGCAGCAGTAGTAGTGGTAGTAGCCGCAGTAGCAGCAGTAGAAGCAGCAGCAGCAGCAGCAGCAGCAAGCAGCAGCAGCAGCAGCAGGAGGAGGAGGAGGAGGAGGAGGAGTAGTAGTAGCAGTAGCAGTAGCAGTAGCAGTAGCAGTAGCAGTAGCAGTAGCAGTAGCAGTAGCAGTAGCAGTAGCAGCAGCAGCAGTAGCAGTAGCAGTAGTAGTAGTAGTAGTAGTAGTAGTAGTAGTAGTAGTAGTAGTAGTAGTAGTAGTAGTAGTAAAGTAAAGTAGTAAAGTAGTAAAGTAGTAAAGTAGTAAAGTAGTAAAGTAGTAAAGTAGTAAAGTAGTAGTAATTAGTAGTACTAGTGATAGAAGCTGTCTACAACAACAGGAACAATAGCAAGAAATGGCAATTACTAGAACGAGAACGCACGAATATGTAACACTCAGGATATCTCAGGTGCAGGTCGTCGAATAGGAAAATCCGATGCATACTTTCCAGCCACGACAGAAAGAGCTGGGATCGTATGGACATGTACCAAAACCACTAGCGCCAATTGCCTCCACCAGGAGTCATTGGTGCAGCTCCAGGCATCGAGTGCAAGGTTTATGGAGTTGATGTTGGGAACCAGGGATGGCCTGGATGTAAGCAGTTCTGGAATGTTTGTGGGATTCCTGCTTCACCGGCTTCACCCGTAGTACATGAGAAAGTTCTTCCAGCCTGGCCGTTTGTGCTTGAAGTGACAATGGTTCCCGTGTGGACCATGGACCTTTCTTGAAGGCCAAGCTGCGCAGCTTGGACACAAACGCAGATGACGTGGCACGCGAGACTTGCCTGCTCGACTGTCATATGTCAGGGATTTCGGCGAGAGGGTTGAAGGTTCAGCTGCAGGGGTTGTGGGTGTGCTGTGCAGTTGCCTTTGGACCGCTGCCTGCCACGACTCAATCGGTGCAACTTGGTCCTGATACATGCTAGGCTGCTGGAGGGGCTGTTTGAATTGCCGAGGAGGCTGGATCGCCTGTACTACGGCTGCCTGAGCGGCACATTGCGTTTGAGGACCTGCCCAGACGAATCACGCATGAGCCGTCCAGAAGAAGTAGGTGTCACTGTAGGGTTTTTATGGAAGGGCCTCCAAAGTGTGCACACTTCTGCCTTCGTGACCCTAGCGGCCTAGCGTTTTTTGTTTAGGCAGCGGTGGTGGGGAGATCTTGCCGCCGTAGTCAGTATTCAAACGAAACGTCAGGCCCGAAGCTGTGCCTGCCGCGCAGGGCAGTCGTTTTGGCTTTGGTAGACTGTATCTTAGACATACAGTGGGTTACCTATAGGTCATGGAGGACCGTGATCAAACCGAGACATCCTGGGCAGGCGGGTGTGACGGGGATGTGGACCTTTCACGATGTCTTCGACTTACCTATACTTACCTTTTGTTCACAGAGTATCGCGCTGTTTCAAGCACCTTCGACGTATCATGGGTAGTATCTGGAAGCTTGCACAGGGTCGCACTTGCTGTTTCAAATTCACCTGTCTTCGAGGAGAGCGAACCCAGAACACGCAAGGACAGATTGGTGTTGAGCTCATGTCCAGTCTTTCCTGGGAAGATGAAGTTTGGTAGAAGTCTTAGCATACTGGCACGCATGGCCCCTGCGAGGCCGGTGGCTTTCTGTACCTTTCACCTGTGAGGATCCAGAGTTCGTGGTCGAGAAAGATGTGGCGGACACCACACCTGTCACAGAACCAACAGAAGGCGCTGACATGCAGGACCGGATGCCTCAACACGGACATGGAAGCTGTTAAAGTTCCGGACCCTCCATGTAGGAGACATCGAACGTGTTATTGTCGTTCTCACCATTGTACGTATCGGCAGTCTTTACATTGTACTTTGGCTTGGCTGCCTGTCATTCGCTTTGTCGTTGTCGCTGGCACGGTTCTTGGTTCTGTTCTGCAAACATGTATGCGTAAACAGCTCTAAGGCTGTCGTGGTTTACATGGCTCCACAACTGCTCCACGTCACATCTGAGCCCGATTCTGGAGCCATGACTTTCAGCTCCAAGGAGGATCCTTATGACCGCATCCGCATGAGCCAAATCGATCTGAACAACAAGCTGATGGAACTGGACCAGGACTTCAGATGCGGGGCTTTGCCGAGAGAGGCCAGTTCCATTCTGGGTCTTGAAGTTGGCAGTACGGTCGTATCTTCGTGTGGGGAGGGGGGGATTCATTGATGTACTTGTCGGGCACGGCCTGCTTGACCGACTGTTCCGAGGTGCCTGTTCGTTTTGCTACACTTCTACACTTAGGTCCCCAATACCAAACCTTTGAACTTTTTGGGCTCTTGTACGTTAGTAGGAGTCGGAAGGTATAACCGTTTATTTCTGTGGCTTATCGGGGTAGTAAGTACATACACAGGCAACATTAAAGGTATTTCAAGCCTGTCGAGTTACAAGAGCATCGAAAGAGCACGGTCTTTGGCCATGATCCGCTTTTCAAAGCGGTTTGGGAATCTTGACGGGCGACTTTGCGCGAGGGCTGTTTTCTGTGATTGAGGAGGAGCTCATGTGTTGGTGGCCATTTTATTTTGCAACTCCACCCTGAACAAACTGTGTGATACCTGACCAGCCAGCTTCAGGGTGTTTCAGGGTTGAGCACTTTGGATTTCGCCGCTGTCCGAGCGCAGGAGTTTGCCAGAACGACGGGCACCAAAATCTTCCAAATCGACCGGTCAGAACTCAGCGTGACGTATCTGGCTACTTGGACAGGCAATGAGCTCAAGGCTCCTGACCCTCAAAGCACGAGACGCCCCTACCCCCCTGGTGCGAGTGTGAGTGTCGAAACCCCCCGAGTGTATGTGCGATCGAATGCCGAGTCTGATGCTTATTAATGCACTGCATAGCTCTTGATGCGATCCAAGCTTGGTTGAACGTCTCCGTCAATGCCTCGCCGCCTTGGCGATGAAAGCTGAGGTGCGGCACCCTCTCTTCAATTTGATTACTGTGCAGAGCTCAGCAAGATCCCTTCTGGAGAGTGTTTATGGCTTGGTCTTGGACATGAGTTGAGATGTCTGTCGCATCTGATCGTTGATCCCTGTATACTCCCGTCAGAAGAGTACCAACCCACGTGAGCTCAGTAAGCCGACGCGGTTCAGATCCCTCGCTTGACATCGCATCGACTCTGAGTGGCGAGGTGCCTGAATCCAAGGATCACGCTTTAAAGATCTCAACATCCAGAATCCGAATCCCTGATCTATGTCCTTCGAACATTTTTGCAGCTCCCGAAAGCGAGGCATTCATGATCATCGTGAATGCAATACAGAGCCTCTGCTTGCAAGAAAGCTCACTCCACGAAGCTATGGTTTTGCAATTGGTAGTCTGACACTGGCAGCATACTGTAGCACGCCTCTTGAACTCTTGCTGAACTGCAATATGGGCATTGTCGTTTCGTCATGTTTCTTTCTGACAGCTTCGAGTCGAGGGCGGACATCAGAATAGACTGCTCTCCGAATAGGTGGTCCGCTTTGGGTTCAAAACATTCAATATCTGGTGTTCCGCATGAAGAGCCTTCAACATAGTCGGCACAGCGACGTAAAGACACCCCCGGAAAGTCTTCTATCTATCACCCGCATCGGACACACATGTTATAGCATCGAGCAGTGAAGCCCCTTGAAGCCTGAAGAGCATGCCTCGATTCTTCAAGCGCCACAAGCCATACTCAGACCCAAGAATGGTCACGTGCTGACACGTGAAAGAGACATGGGACTTTGCCCTGTTCGTTTCAAAATTCTGAAGAACATGGGCAACTGAAATGCCATCTGCAATCTTCACAACAGGAGAGACCCAAGTAGTAGCCAGGCGAACACGGAGTAGCTCAGCCGTTGCAGCATGACAATGGCCTTGACAACAAGGAGGTGGATAAACACTATTCCATGTGTAGTGCATGAAACGTACTCGAACCATACTAAACCTGCGGCAGTCTCGTAGCCTGAATTAAAGACCAAGGGGCTTCGCTCATTCAGTTGCGGGCTCAGCCCTCGCTTTGGAAGGCTTGAGCTGGGAGCAGATATTGCAGCCTGAAAACATCATGCTTGTCTGACTGTTAGACATGCGTAGTCTTCAGAAATCAGAAATCACGGCTATGCCGAAGTCCCCCTGGAATCGAAGGATTGGGTACGATGCAGAAATCACTGCCACAACCACGGGCAGCTCGCCACTGTGGATGAACATTTGGTCCCTGGCCGCTCGGCTTGACATTCAGCTTCTCTCCGAGTCCACTGCGAGGATTCAGACAAAGGAAATTATGATATTTAGCTTCCCTCTGACACCGATGCCGCTTTGCCCATTTCGTTCTCGGATGCTCAGCTCAAGTCTGAATGAAGTTCGTTTTGTTGTGTTGGCTTTGGCTTTCTGCGGGTGGAGATATCAATTCTAGCCACTTCGAAACCACGACTGTAAAAGGGGCCGGCCAGTATCCAATAGAAGCTTCGTCACTTACACGGTTCTGTTGTGTTTATTGGACGGCCAAACAGGCCGCATGATGGGATGCTCCAAATCTCAGTCCCCTGCTATGTATCGCTTCGCTTCTTGCTCTCAAGGCATCCCCACCATTGGAGCCTCAACGCAGGTCTGCACCCTGTACTTCGCAGTGGAGTGCACGCTTCGAATTTGGACTTTCCGCCTGGAACTGAGAAATTGCAAGCAAGGGCCCTGCACCGAAGCCAGATGCACCAACGTAGGGCTTATGCTGGTCGCCCGAATAGTCTTGGCATGACCACCATGACTATCATGCGCTTTTGTAGATGCCTGTAATCAGATATGTCACCGACCGGGACTTGCTCAGTAGTTAGTCGGTCTTGCTCAGTAGTTGGTGCGCGCCAATGTCCTTGTCATGCTGCATTATTGTGTGCAGAGATTGAAATCCAACAAGGGCCTGAATTTTCATGGGTGCATCCGGCTAACAACTCAGGTTCTCAGTCAGAAACTCTCAATGCCCCAGCCTGACAGGCCTTCATTTAAGTTTCTGGATTTTGCTTTGCTTCGTCTTAATGCTGTGTAGTTATGCCTTTCCTGGGCCCAATACATGGTACATAATCTGTTAATCCGTTCTCATGGTCTTTTCGCTCCTGGCTTGGCGAGGTCGGGAATTCTTCTGCGGTGAGGCCTGGCCATGGAACCTGTTTGATTTGCCGCCCGGCTATGACTATGGCTGGTATCATGCTTGGAGCAACAAACCCCTTCGATCTGCAGAGAAACGGAAGAAATGTGGCGATAAAGAAATCCGACGCTGGTGTATCTCACTGGTATTGTCGAGCAGCTGTGCCGACACAAAGCTTATAAGATAAGAGGAAACAAGGCCCGCTTTTTATACTGAAGCGCAAATTGGTAATTATCTGCTTGTGCTTTGTTTTGGGAAGGCCGGGGTGAGTGACTGAAGTGCAGAGGGTTTCAGGCAGGTCTTCGTTCGGATCCTCTGCAACATGCAATACTCTGTCCGTCTGTCTGCCAACGCGCAGATTGACTAACAATTGTGCCTGCGAGGACAACCCAGAAGAGCTACTGAAAGCTTGCAAACATCTGAACTGCGCCAGCTTGGGTGCGAATGTTTGGGGATGCATGCGTAAGTTGTCGAACGACCCCAATCCAAAAGCATACTTCCACTGTTGCCAACAGAGTCGCTGAGGCTCCTGGTTGTCTGCTCTGCAGCGGATTTTGCACCATTCCTCTACGGTGATGCAGAGAGCTCAATTGAGACTTGGTAGCAGCCAGGTGTCAGGTGTTCGGAACAGTAGCTTCTGCGGGGTCGAGGGACAGGTGCCTCAATTGTCATCATCGCAGAAAACCTCTGCTTTCCCAGAATCGGTCCGGCACAACCAACCTACAGTTCTACCAGCGGTCCGGACTAGCTATGGTGATGCCGCAAGCATGAAGCTGGCATCAGTCAGTTCTGCGTGCCAGCTCAGGTACTGGATGCTTTGCGTGCCCTGCCTCCCGCCTTGCAAACATGAGGTTGTACGAATCATCAGTGGGGTCTGCTACTTGTCACACGCCGGCTCATTCGGCCATCGCCAAAGTCGTCTCTCGATATTTCCTGTAGAAAGAGTTTGCAGTCCGCGGGGCCAATGTAACCAATGTGCTACATTCTCACCGGGGGAAACCCAACCAACTGTGATTCCAGGAAGCTGCTTCGAATCATTCGTGTCTTCCGCGTCTTCCGGGTCATCAAGCAGCTGTCCAACTTGAGACATGCCTGAGCTGTTAGAGCTTAGAGTACTGCAGTTTCCGTTCAGATTCAGACAGCTCTTTTTGCGTGGCCGGGATTTGGAGCACAGAGCCTGAATTCCTAGCTCCTGGGTTTGCGACCCACAGCTCGGGAAGGTTTGAAAACGATGATGCTGGTTCGCTAGAATTGGCCAGAGTCTACGTCAAAGTTTCGGACCCGGCAAGCAGTAGGACCCCAATGTTTGGATCCTGGCCACAAGGAGTTCAGGGCTCAAGGTGTCCGACGTCGCGTTTGTATACAGAAGCCTTCCTGGCATACTTGGGCCAAGGCTCTCTGAGCTAACCCCCGGGCCCGGGCCTGTCAACCCCGCACCGAAGATGCCTGTACGAGTTGTGAGACGGGAAAGTTTAAAGTCCCGTAGAAAGCCAGCAAGCGCCGCAAGGATGGTGATGATTGCCGACTCCATCAACTCGCTTCTCTGGGCTTTGGTGATGCTGGTGATCATCATGTATGCCCTTTGGATGAACCCGAAACTCCGAACAAATACATCAAAAAAGCTCCTTGTTTATCATCGGAAGGTCATTGATCGAAAGACGCACGGTTTCGCAAGTGTATTTTGGAGGGGGGGAATTCGGTCGACTTGCTTGAACGCTTAGCTTCAAGTCACAGAGCACCTGCAGGGCAGAGCTAGTGTCATGTGCTTTTTGCCCCACTGAGGATCAGTGCCCAATACTTATCAGGTTAAGCTGCCTAGAGTTAGATGTGTTATGGTTGCTGCTGGTGGTACCATGTCGAGTGTCCATCGGATTCATCTCATTACTTGCTTTCTTCTGAGTGTTCGCGTGGCTTCTAGTGAGCTGGTGTGTTGATTCTATGATTTGTCGGAAGGTGTTTGCAGTCTGCATCATGACCTTCACCTCGGATTGGGTGGCTCGGCATCAGAAAACGGCTGGAGACGCTCGGTAGAGAGCGCGAGAGAGGCAGAGATATGCAGAAAGGTTGGAAGAGCAACAACAAGAAAGATCGTCGTAGTGCACATGAAGAATCATGTAGAACATAGATAGCATGGCCTGCTGTGTTTCCCCAAAACCTAAACTATCTATACACCTTGCATCTAAGCCCCAAGCTTGAACCATTCGACTCTGAAGCCCTAAACCAAACCCTGAAACCCCTGTTTTTCATTGCAAGATGGAGGAATCCTTGAGTTGCAGTCGCTGTGTTGCGTCACTACAAGACGGAGAGCTCTTTCATGTCGGAGCTTTTAATTGTGGTTTCCTTCCAAGAAGGATGCACCTCGAGTTGTTTGCCGACTCGTCAACCCTGCCATGCGGGCTCCTCCTTGCTAGCTAGGAGGCAAAAGAAAGAGGCCAAGCAGAAAAACAATAGCGAGAGTCAGGTGGCGACGTCGTCTGCTGATGACCCGGTGGTGGGTCGCATCCAGGGCGCTTTCGGATCCCTGGTGCCTGGGATGGGCACCAAGTCAGAGTCGGGCTTTGCTGCATCATAGGGCCTTAGAACTCGGAGTTTACCAGGGGCGGCGGTGAAAGCCCGATGCAACGAAGAAGGCGTCTGGTTTGAAGCGTGCGGTCAAGGCTTTGCACTTGTTGGGGGTTCAAGGCTTGGGTTTTGGGTTCAGAAGATGTCAGAAAAAGTTGCTAACCGTCATGTTTAAAGGCATCAGCTAGCAAAACACTACAGATCGTTACAGAAGTCGTAACTTCTTCGTTGTAGGCTTGAGGTTTCTCACGGGGAAGGTGCCATGGCGGCCTCAGAGCCTTGAGTTCCCAAAATGTGCTGCGTTCCTACACACCGTACAAGATTCCGAAGCCCCGAAACCCTAAACCCAGCCACCCGCACGTTGAGCTGTCAGACAGACGGAATGTAAGTCTGGGGTTGAAGGGTTGAAGTAGGTTCAGTGTCAAGGCCCCAAGCCTATATCCCGCAACCCTGAAGCGTGGGCTTGCAATATGGGAGCCAAGGAAGCCAACAAGCATTATCCATGCCTCAAGCCGTGAAGCTCTAGAGCCTTGAAGGCTTGAATCGTTCTGTCAGGATCAAGTTCCAGCTTGAGGTTTAGAGCTGAGGGCTCACAGTGTCGACAAGGCATCAAGCATTTGTTTGCAGTTGGCGTTGACTTGAGGTGCCCCATGCCAAGCCCTGCCACACCGAAAACGCTGCTGGAACACCAATCCCTAAAACATCCTAAAACCCTGAAGATTCTAGGCACCAAAGAACACCCTCAGAGCTCAGGGGCAGTCTTTCTTCACCCTCGTGGTCGTCATGCTCGATGGTGTGGACTTTGCGGACATCCTGGAAGACCTCCTTCTGGTAGGTGTCTCGCCCTCTACCCACGAACTCTGGGCTTCATATGGCTTCATCATATGAGAGGGTTGGTTGGGTTTTTGGCGGCCGAGACGGGAAGCCCTCAACTCCTTTAGACTTAAAACCGGGAGATCGCAGCGCTCGTCCTGCAAAACTGATCTCATGGGAACAGACACAAGTAAGCCGTGAACTTTGCATGCGTAGTCTCTCCACCCGAACTCTACGTGTGAAAACTGGGGAATCATCCTTGGCTTCTAACTCTGGCGATCCCGGGAAGTTCCACTGCCGAATCGGAGTAAGCGCCTCAGAGTTTGTGGTTGGGGTTGCCGGTGTACTATCAGAAACAGCTCTCGGAAGCGGCAAGGTTTGGTCCCAAAGTTTGATTGTGTTGTTACGGGGTTTATGTCGAAATCCGTTTATGCCGGAACTTCATGGCCGAGGTTGGATGCCCTTTGCACTCCTGATGTTCTTTGCATCTGGGTGGCAGTGAGGGCAGCCTTGAGACTCTAGACCCTACTTGTAGTACAGACCCTAAATAGAACCCTCGCCTGGCATGTCCGAGTTGTGAGAGTGTAACTGGTAATGGTGGGATCCTGGTTAGGAGAACTTTTCCACAGGGATGCAATGGGACCCATTTCCATCCATGTCTTGGTATGCCGAGGATTCCATGTATACGGCTGTAGCAAGCAAAGCAGAGCCAACGCGTTCAACTGCAGACATCTAACTTCAGAAAGATGCTGTGACAAACAAATCGCCCACTGCATACCAATTTGCATGTCAGTGTCGTGGCTTCGATCCCCTTTGCTGATGAACAGAACTGTTTCTCCTAAAGACGCCTCGCAAGTGGGCATTGATCCCAGCCATCCGAGGGGCAAAAAAGCACAGAGCTTCTTGCTCGTGCCTTCTTGTGAGCTTTTTACATTGATCAAGCTAGGGTTGAAGTTCGGTTGCATCGTCTCACTTGAAGCCAAAGCTCCCATCTAGACTTCCATGATTCGAAGGGGTCTTTCCTGTACCTAAACATGTTTTGCCCGGCCCAGCTGAGGTTCTGTTCACGAATCTGGCCGTGCTGAATGCCCCGGCCTTGGTGCAACTCTGTTCACACTTTCTTTGGCCCTGACACCCGAAACCCACTAAACTCTAAACCCCGAGGGAACAAACCCGCGAATTTTCCGTCTCAGCCGTAAACCCAAAGCCCTGATCCGAATGCGAGATTCCTAACTCTAAAAGCCCCGGAATGATCTTTCCTCGTCTTCCTTCTCTTCGGCGACTTCGAGCGCCGTTCGGCGTGCTGAATACGATTCGGGAATACCAGCACCGCAGCCACAGTACCCGCTAAGGTCGTGACAGGCGTTTTCGTTGACCGCGCGCTCGAAGCCGAGAAATCTCAGAGGGAGTATCAAGCAGCTTGGCCTGGGTCAGGATGTCCAATTATGTCGTGTCTTTTTCGGCAGCGCTTTTAGAGGTTGATATACTGGATCAGATCAGGATATGGAGATCTGTGATTAGGGTTTCAAAACCTCTGGCCCAGATTTTAGCCCTCAGCATCGAGCGCTTAAGTTTTCGTGTCAGATTGCCGAAAATTTTCATAGGTTTAGTAAGGGGCTTCTGGTTCATGACTTAGCTCCATGGATGAATCCAGCTTGCTTCCAAGAAAGCCCCGCAAAAGGATGTTAGCGCCTGGAACTTGGTTTCATCGGCCTCAAAAGCTGCATGGGCTCGAAAAAAGGCCCAAATTGCGGAGATCGCAGGGTGCTGTGCTAATGCATATAGGGACCCCCAGCAGAGGTGGAACGTGCGCTGAAGAATCAGATCTCGCCTCGACCTTACGGTCTCAGGTTGACTTGTGTAGGGTTCGGGGTCTCAGAAGCTCCAGGCTGAGGGGTTAAGATGATCATCTTTGAGTGTCTTCCTCTAGGAGCACACATCCGGATGCGAAGATCTCGTTGCCTTGTATGCAGCCGCCAGAATGCAAACTGTTCACAGCAGATCCAGCTACTGTAAAGCATTCCACAGCAAGGAGTCTCACATCGCTCTTTTTGCATCATGCCACTCTGCTGCACCCACCACAGGGGTGCTGCTGTCTTTGCCCAAACCTCAGGTTCAAGAAGCAGATTATCCATCTGGTCGCCAAGATCGACAGCGACTTGGCTTGGGATGAGGCAAGAAAGCGGTGGAAATTAACTGCGCAAATGCGCCTAGGCAATCGTAGCAACTTGACGTGTGCTGCCCCCACGTTCTCGAGCAACATTCTGGTTCTAATTCTCGCCCGCGAGGCATGGACGAATTTGACTGCAGTTTGGTGAACAATCATGGTCGAACAGGTGAAGACCAACAGTAAACTCCATAAAGTTGGAAACCGGATTCAGGCCAAATAGTGCTGGGATTCTCCTATACATTACTCTTATGCATTCAGGCTATTGGGTTTCCAACTTTGAGGCTTCTACTGTAAAAGGAAGGCGGCAGCACTTGCATCACGGATTTCAGGCAATGCAGATGGGCGCATTACCCGAGATGAGTTGCACGCCATGCTGGAGGAGCCTTAGACCTCGGAGACTGAAGCGGTACGTAGCTGGGGTGCGGATGCGGACGCATGCCATGCGGTCCTGGAAAGCGGCTTAATGGCGCAAGCCGTGAACTTCCTAGTTTCAACTTTCAGCCAGCACTGCCGCATACGCAGAGAAAGGGAAGGCTGCCGTGCTAGAGTCAATGAATTCCAGGTGGTTTTTGATGTTGAACCGACGGGGACGATCCCTCTTTAAACATTCTATTTTCTGCCGTTGGGGTCCCAATGAAAAACACGAGTCTACAGCATAATTATCTGAAATTGTTAGATTCAGTGTGTCGTGGCAACTTGAACAAGGAATTCTGTGCCAGTTCCGAACCTAGCACCAACTAACATGGCTCCTGGAGATCAGTGCAGGATCGCACTCTGTCAGCTCACTGGGAAACGCTTGGGCTGGTTGGTCTTAACAGGAGGCTTGGCTGAATCTCTGGACCGAGCAAGCCTGGATGTGCCTGAAACTGCGAAGTCAACCGATTGCTTTGCTCGTGTTGCAACCCATGGGCCCATGGAGCAGTTCCTTTTACCCTCGTCCGGTCGGGCAGGTAGACACAAACGTGTTGAGTTTGAAGTTTGGAGGTTGAAGTATCCCGGATGTCCCTACCACTGCCTCCCCCGTCGTTCCTGGTTCACTTAGACATGAGAAATACCCAGTGTGTTTGAAACTTTTATTCTGACACCTTGCTTCGCAGGCCCAGCAAAAGTTCTGAACCGGATCCGGTTTAGGGACAGGCTTCTGAAATGAGGAGCTCGGGTGCGGCACTGCTCAGCAGCTCAGGAAACTTCAAGCAGATCGGCTCTTCAGCACCTTTGACTGTTTTAAGTTGTTGGTTTTCATGCGTCACGTGGAGGCTTCAACAAGTAGTACTAACCTTGTGTTTACCGGTGTCATTTTCCATGTAGTATGCCGGGGACAGGATAGGATTGTTGTTGCTGGCCTTGGTCTTGTTGTGTGTCATTGTGCTTACGCTGCTATCCGATATCCTCCCCTTCATTTTTGTTGAACCGTGCCTTGCGGTTTCCTTCGGATGCTTCGGTCGCAAGCATAGCGTGCAGTAGATGCAACACCCCACATGCCCATCATGCGTGTGTGTGTCGATTTCGGCAAACTCGATAGCTCATCTGACTGCTGACTGCGTGACCGAAACGCATTTTGTTTGCCTCAGCGACTCGTCTTGCTTCTTGGCGTCTTCATTGATCATTGGTCGGATTGAGCAGTTTCTGTGAATCCAAGACTTGGTTGACGAAGACTCGGATGGCGCCATCTACGTGGATGAGTTTCTGGACAAAGCCGGCTTCCTGCGCGGCCCGGCCAGCGCCACCCATCTGCCAACAGAATGGGAGCCTTTTCATGGAATCTGAATAAAGCCTCCGAAGGACAAGTAGTTGCGTCGTGAAGCAGTATCACTCCCAGAGCGAAGGAGCACTTGTTACCCTGAGCTTGGGGGCTCGGAAGAATGATGGCACAAAGGTCGGGGGAAGGGCCCCCATGCGAAAAAAGCGGAGCAGACTAGCCCTCCCCCAAGCTCGAAAGCAACAGGACCTGGCCCTTTAAACTTCACTTGACAAAAAACAGCCGTTGTACCATGTCCTACCTCTTCTGTAGGGTCAGAGCATAGAAGGCTCATATCGGTTTTCCAGGAGAGATCCTACAAGCACTAGGTCACTAGGTAGTGGTAGTTTACGGTGGGCTCAAGGAAGGCCCGAAAAATCCGGACGAGAAGAGGCCAGAACCCTTCAATAAAAGACAGATGTAGTGTTCAATTGGGTTTAGGGTTCAGGTTTGTGTGGTAGAAGTGAAGGCCATCGAGCTGCTCGCGGTGCAGTCGGAGTGCAACCAGATCAGGAAGCAGCTCCCGGACTGAAGATAGCTTTTTGGGCGTTTTGGTGTTACCTACTTACTTTTTAGAGTAAGGGCTGTACCAGATCTTCATTGTGCATATTCTCTTCCACTGAGGCATGTGCGATCTCAGTCATAGGACGAGAAGTTCCGGTTCCCCTTCAGAGCTACACTCTTGAGAAGGTCTCGAGTCTAGCGGCAGATACATGACAGCTGAGACTGAGGGTTGAGCGAGACGATGTGCTCCTGCATAGGGGAACGGGTCGCAATCGATATGCAATATGATGTTAGGATCGAGTCCACGGCAGTCTAGCTGATCCATCGGAGCATGCCCACTGCGTGGAGCCTCACCTCACATCCAGATGTGCGCAACTCGAAAGTTCGCAGACGACTACTCATGTGCAACCTTCCGGTACCCAGTTGACCGAGTTTTTCATCCACATGGCTGGATTGGAGAAAAGACACCCTTCTGGAAAACGTGTCTTGCGTCTCGGCATCCGGGCCGTATGCCCTTGGTTGAACAACTTTCGAATGCTGTCCCATAAACCCATACATCAATCATCAATATGGAGAGGCTGATGACTTAAATCACCTCGCAGACCAAAGCCAGGTTGCGCGAGAACCGGAAGGTGCTACAGCGACTGGTCGAGACGTCGCTACCGCAGGAACCCCCCGACAGACGGAGCCAGATCGTGCAGACACCACCAAAGTGCAGTCATATACTTGGGGTGGGTCATGACCACTTGATTTAAATATGATCAACAAGGAGGATTCTGAGAAGATAGGTTCGTCTTCAGTCCTGGCGGATCTTTTTCGGTACTGGAGGGGTGCTTGAACAAAGACAGAGCTTCCAGGGTTTTCGTTGCAGCTAGGACCAAGTCGCGAAAGCTCGTGCAACTTCAAGGTCGAGGATCTTTTGCCAGCAGGTTTCGAATGTAGTCCACAAGCAAGGGCTTACCTCTGTCTGCCAGATTCCACAACTTGGTTCATGAAGGGGTCAGGCACGTGAATCCCTACAACGCACATTTCCGAAAACCTGTGGGTGATAGTCAAAAAATGCCATAAAGTTGAGGTGCTTTTCCCAACAACTGCATATAGTTACCCTGCAATGCGGGCCTTGTCCTTGCTAAGTAGCACGGAAAAAACTGTACACAGAACAATTCGCCCGGCAGGATCTCCGGCACGGCATGGGTCAAGCTCGAATGCTGTCTGCTGAGTCTCTGGATCCGGCAGAGCTCAACCTCTGATGCGCTTCGGGTTATTGCTCTCGTTCATTCCGCTGAACAATGTCGGGGATGTTGGGATTCCAGGCATGTCCAGGGCGAGTTCTAGGGGAAAGTTATGGAAATCAGCCTCAAGCTCCGCAACAAGCAAGTGCAAAGTGCATCAGCCGGGGCATAAATGCTTTGGCCTTGCCAGAGGTTTTCAACCCGATTATCCCATGCAGGCTAGGTGAAGGCCTTAGAAAGTTTCCTCTTGACCCTAAATGCAGGTCATGTTTGTCGAAAAGCGGACGCAGGGCCTTTCGTACTTTGTCGTTGGGACCTTGTTGAAGCTGCAAGAACGATGCCGTAGCTCAGTAGAGGGAGCATGCGCTACTACTAGCGGATTCCCATAAACAAACTGAGCCCCAAGGTAGAAAAAGCCTCCACGGCCCCTGTTAGCCTCCTAAAAGGATGGCTTGATTCATCAGCCGCAGCAGGGGAAAAGGTCCTACTTTCGGCAGCATCATCCTTTCCGTTTGTTTATTGTGTAATGCTCCTTACGTGGATGGTTCGCTGCATGGTAGTTCATTTGTGTCTTCAAGCTTGTCGCCACATCTGCAGGAGAAGGATTCTCGCACATAAGTTGGGGTCTGGGAATAATAATAAGCTGACAAGGCACCTCCCCTCCCACGATCTTGGAAACCCTGCATTCCGGTTTTCTGCCAGCATGCATGTCGAGAGCTATCAGTCTATGGTGGTGTGAGATCGTTTCGAGTTCTGAGATCATCAGTTTTCAGTTCAGGAATGTTTGTGAATTGTCCGGACCTGTGTCTTGCAATGTATTAGTTCACATAGCAATCATTTCACAGAGTGCCTCGTGCAGTGGCTTCCATTGTGTTACAACGTTGGACCTAACATGCGGAGAGTTCGTGAGATGTCATCCAAGAGCAGTCTATGCAGATGTTTCTAAAGCTGTTTTGGTGTAAACTGAGTCAGATCTCAGATTGAACCTATTGCCAGATTGCAGGGGACCCCATGATCCAACAATCAAGAGGACCAAAGTGCTACGATTACGCGCGCAATCACAACACCGAATGGAATGCGGCAGGCAGCACTAGTGGCTCACCCATGTACACGCAAGCACAAAGACAAAATGCCCGGATTATTGCATCAACCATGCGCATGCATGTGCCGAATTTTGCACATGCACGCACATATCTGCACCCCATTATATATATATATATATATATGTGTGTGTATATATATATATATATATATATATATAAGTGTGGTGACTGACTTGTGAAATGCGCACCTTCTGGTTGCAACTCACTGTTTGCAGCGGCTGCAACCATGGCTTGCTATATCTACAAGACACTCTTGCTTGCGGGACTGTGAATATCGTGCATATGTGTAAACGACGATGTATCTTATGCGGATATGTTGGTAGGTGTAATCGTGCATATATGCACATCCATGCACGAAGCTACACCCTAGGCCTGTGTTCATATAGACGCAGACTCTTACTCATGGGACTGGTGAGTGCAGGCTGTACTTGCTTTTGACTTTTACATGTATGGACTTCTGAGTTATGCGCAAATTACAGCAAAATGCATTTACGCACCCCCCACACACCCCGACAAGCGCGGCGTTCTACAGAAGTGTATGACCTAGGCTCATTGCTACCTTCGGCTATTGCAGTGGAAGAAGGGGCCGCTCTATCGTGCAGTGCCCAGATGAGGATTGCTCTAACATCGAGGTCCCTCTTGCAGCTACGTATTCGCTTTATTGCCAGGGAGATGGTTTCAAGCTGCTGTTTAGATTGCCTTTGCCGGCATTCTATTTGGGATTATGGCGTATTTTGTGTGTTTCAAATGTTTACACCTGCAGACTTCGATCATAGTAATACCCAAAACCTGGTGTAGTCATTGTTGGCCTCCTGCACGAGGATCCGGGCCCCTTGAATGGAACTCCGAACTCCCTGAGAGAAGTGCCGTCAAAGAGTCGAACCTTAAACTTCAAGACTTAGCTTGCTGAAGCCCTCAATGCAGGCCAAACCGAAACCTTAGACCCTTCTGATAAAGTCTGTACCTCAAGGAACCTGCAAACAACAGCCAAAGAGCACGAAGAGTCGTAAGAGATCCAAAAGTCCGACAGCAGATGAAAGCTCAAGGATATATCAGCAGCTCTGAGGGTTAAGATGGTGCTCTGCACCAGACAGTTCAGCCTCGTTCAGGGTTCAGGCCCCAAACCCTTCAATTGTAGGGCTTCTAGAGGCAACAGCGACTACATCGCTGTGAACAAGGAGGAGCGCGAACACTTCCCCTGGGTGATGGAGCAGGCAGGAGAGGCTGCTTGTTCGAGTTCTGGCCCGAAGTTGCGGCAGAGAGAAGCAGAGAGAGACAACAAAAGAGTTTGTGTCTTTAGAGATTGGAATGGCTTTTGTGACTCGGGAACCCTACTGCCAGCACCTTCTGTTTTTCAAAAGCGAAAGCCAGCGAAGCCCCCGAAAGCAAGCACGTGTACAAAGCACGCCGCAGCCCTGAACCCTAAAACTGACACCCCCCAAATGCAAATCGGGAGAGAAACACAACGACACCTCGGCTTCTGCACAAACTTGGACACAGGTGCGCGGAAGGGCCCAGGAGTTTTTCCGCCAGCTGGATTCCGAGCTCCTATCCATGGCCATGGTTAAAATCCTATGTATACAGAGGCAAAAACTGATGTGGTAGATTGAGTATATTGAGTTGTCTTCGTCACCATAGCTGGTACTGTTTAGAAGGTCGTAAAGCGGATCATCATTACATGTTTAACATACATGTTGTTTTCATCGTTTGTGGTATGGTTACAGCACTGTCTACGTTCGACGCCACTCTGCACTCTCGATTGTCGGGCTGCAACAGCAGGTTCGAGGACCCCTAAACTAAACCCTGAACCGTATTTCCACAGTCCTTCGCAGCCTGGCTTGGCAATGACACTGTTACCACTTGGATTAGGGTTGTTCAGTGCCCTGCCTCTGAGGTACTGGGAGACCGAGCTGCGGAAAAACAGAGACAGATGGTCGCTCGTGCTAGGCCCAGTCATGCACATGCATTCCTCAAACATTAATCCTAAACAGTTGGACATGTTCCGGAGTTCCCGAGCATGACAATGACCTGCACGGAGCTGCACCTTGCTTGTGCGCGCTTGCGTCGGTACGCGGCCTGCCTCAGCTTAATATTCTGGAGCTGCTCAATGTTCTGCGACGGGTTCAGATCGTGCCTTTCCCGACAGTTATTTGCTATTGCAGCATTTGCTGTTGCCGTTGTGTCTGCTGTTGTTGATGTTGCTGTTGTCGCTCGTCTCCGTGGTGTTGCCGACGAAAGGTTCAGCCCTCCAACTTCATGAATCGAAATAGGTTACTTTGGCAACCCATTAACCTTTGTCATAAGCTTACACAGTCCCAAATCCAAGCTCCAGACATCTTGAAAATGTCGTTGTTGTAGAGGGGGGCTCGCTCGCCCTTCCTTTGAGGCCGTGGCCCATCCGTAAGACCCCGTATCAGGGCCCGTTACAGTAGACCATTGAACCTTAAAAATTGACTCGGAACCCCAAAGTCCTTGCGAGACAGGGCTGTAAGAGGGGTCCTCAGAAACGCATCCAAAAGGCTTTCATGCATTTAAGATGCGACGAGGTCCTGGAAGCAGATGGTTTCGTGACGGTGATCACCGAGAAGCTTTTCGCGCTGGCTTGCACCCTGCGGGGTGCCCATTTCCTGAGCACGGTGTGCAGGTGTACTTCTTTGGCTTGGGGTTTGCATCTTTCTCAGGGGTCAACGAAACAGATCACGTCGCAAGCCTAGGTCTGCAAGGGGCCTGTCCAAGTGAAGTTATTTTTCGCGAGCTGGTGGCTGTTGTCGCTCAAGAGCTGCAGTCAATCGGATCTGTGGAGGGATTTGATAACAGACTGTCGTCTTTCGTACGGCATCATAAGCCTCAGCCCTTTGAAGCTGCTTCATCTTGCAGACCATGCAGCAAACCTTCACGTCTGCATGAGCAGCACTGCAACCCCACAGCCTCATACCACATGAGCCCATGCGCCCAAGCCTGGGGATCATTGCAGGTTTCTTGTCGGCTTGAAGTTCAGACTCTTCCTTGAGCCATGAGCAATTGAGCTTCTTACATAACCCGACCTAGTTTTGGAATGTCCCGCGCAGCGCTCCGCGCGGCAGCCGCCATGACACGCGCATGGAGCAAGGCAGACCGCAGCCGACTAAGCACGGCACCAGATCCGTAAATGTAGGGCTTCTTAGTTAGTAGCTAGGGCCCCCGAACTCAACGCCTATTGAGCTTTAATCCCTGAAGCCACATAAGTAGCAGTTTCCGATGCCCTGTTCCTTTGGAAGCCTTGGACTCAACTGTTCCAACCTCTCCTTTGGTCTCTCTGGTGCCAATAAACCCTGTACAGTTTCTTCAGTCGTGTGCCGTTCGACGGGCTTGAACACGCAAAGAGGCTGGATATCCCAGAAGCATGACAGTTTACGGATGGGATGTGAAGCCCTAACTCCTTGAGCTTGTAAGTCCTGTGACCCCCCAACACAGGCCTCAAAGCTGAAGACATCTTTCGGACTCGAACCAAAGTCATATCTGGCGATGAAAGCCCAAACTCCCGGAGCAAGGGATGCTGAAGCCTGAACTTAGGATTAAAGCCCCAACCTCACAATCCCCAGAAGTCCGACATGACATCCCAGAACGATTCATGAAGCTCCGATAAGCTGCTCTTGAAATGTGGCCAGGCTCCCCATGGCTACGCCTCCGCTCTGGCCAGGTTCTGGGCCGAGCAGAGTTGCCGAGGCCTAGGTAAGGATTTAGGCTACGGTTATGTACTGGTAAAAAAGGGATTGTTTTTGGGACTCAGAGGTTTCGAGGTTCGATTTTCAGGCTTGTGACCGATTTTTGGAATTGGGTCCTGCTTGGGGATCAGAGGGTGTCCATAGTTGTATAGGACTGGGATGCTTCCCTAGAGATCCAGTCGATAGAAGGATGCCAATGGACGGGTTTAAGTGCATCGAAGCTTACCCGAGGTTTGGGGTTCATGTTTGGATGTAGGATTGAATAAGACCCTATTGGTGCTGAGGGTTTCCCTCATTCTGAATAAGTTAATGATTAATGCAAAGGCTTCCGGGGGAAAAGAAGCAGTCGCGGCTGTAGTGAACCGCATGGTTTATGGTTGGGGGCTTGGGCTTTAGGGGTTATGAGTCAAGATGATGCTGCAGGGCTTTCGGTACCTTAATCTCGTCCGAGGGATGAAACTACAAGCTTGGAGCCCCGTAACGTCTGCTTCCTGAACCCGATTCTGCACCAGGGTGGTCTGGTCCTTCTGGGACAAGGGCATCCAGGACCTGAGCGAGTTCCGGCAACTGTGCATCGAGACATGGAGGCGCTGGTGTGCCGGTTACTTGCATGTGGGGCCGCTGGGTGGGGAGCAAGACTCTGTGACTGAAGCCGAGCGGAGGTGTCCGAATCCCTAGAGATCTTGAGACGGCATGCTGCTCGAGAACGGTCCTGCTCGCAGGTCCATGAACCCAGCTTGGGACATCAAAGCCGGAGGCTCAAGATCTCGTAAGCGAGCGATGCGCCCCGCCGTTTGAGAATCACTGGAGGGCCTCTTTGATTCTGGTGGTCAGAGTGCTCATAGGGAGTCAAGTCTGACCATCAACAAGCTCCCATTTCCGCTTGAGTTGGAGATCGGGTGCCAGGTCGAAGTCATTGCTTGACTTACCTTTGGTTAGTAGGGAATAGAGGAATGGGGTACAACTACAACTACTATTACTACTACCTGTTTTTCCATTCTCTTCTAACCAAAGGTAAGTTGAAGGATCATGGGCAGAATGGGCTTCTGATCTCATCTGCTCAAGCTGTCCTTCGATGCTTGCCTGTTTGCGTGTAAGCCTCCTACTTCTGTCGGTTTTGTTTACGGCCTGTTGCCCTGGTAAACTTAGGAGTGTCGTTGTTTGGCTTGCTAAGTTCATTATACCTATTCATCGCATGTTACTGCTTTCCTTGCTGCCCTTCTCATTGCCAGAAACCTCATTTGGGTTGTCCAACTGCCTGAAACTGTGAGCCTTCAAGGTCCTTGACCTCAAGTCCGTGTGGGTCTACTTGCACCCGCACGACCTGCCCAGGGAGTGGCAGGCAGGATTTCCCTAAGCTGCAGGATGTGTCCTTGTCTCTGGGAAAACATCATGGCCGTTGTCGAAGTGCAGAGTTTTTGAGCACGAACCCCCGATCCCGATTCGAGCAAAAGTAGTGTGACTAGAAAGCAGATTGGTAGTCTTGGATCAGAACTTTGATATATCGGTTTGATCCGTGATGGCTTGTAGACTCAAATTTCGAACGCTTGCGAGGACATGTACGTGACTTTCCAGTCGGATGCCGTTCGCCTCGCACTTTTGGGAAGGCTGGAAGCTGTCCTGCATGTGTGGAACAGTGCAGCGCTCGATCAAAAAGCAAATGCATTCCTACTGAGCAGCTTGCAGCAGGTATGGTGGGATTTGGGTCGATCCTGCCACGTGCCTTGGTCATGCTAGATGAGGCCATTTTGCGGTCGACAGTCCAGCCGAAGCCCATCTAATCAGCCCTGAAACGGTTTGGCAAAGAGTTATTAGTGATCATGGTCGCTTATCGCACGACCCTTCGCCCAGCTATCCCTGGGGTTGCTAGCTATGACGGCTTATCAGCGTAGTCCAGATTCACGCGATACATCTTCTGGACCGCTTGTCATGTTTTTGTTAGGTGTTAGATACCGCCAGGCCAGTGTTGTGCTTCATGTTCTGTGGAACGTAGGCATGGAGAACTATCGGCTTCAGAATGAGCGCTGAGATCAGGATTTGCCTTCGGCCTTTTGATACCTGGCTGTGCAAAAGCCTTCACCGTGGTCCGCGTGGCATTGCGGCGTGCCTGGTCTGCAAACACAAGGGCCAGGGGCTTTTACGTGTCCATATGGGCTCCTTGCCACCTTTCACATGCCGCTTGCACAACACGGAGCCCCACACCTAAGCACCTGTGAAAGGTTCGTCGTATGTCTTGAGCTTTCAAGACCACTTGCATCGTTGGCCTACGTGGATCTTCATACAGATGTGACGATTGTGTTCTTGTTGGCGTCGCTGATGCGCTGACCCTTTACGCCGGCGTGGTTGTCCTTATTCGGAACGCAACGACAGCTACCCGCCACGCGCGACATCCCAATCGATCGAAAGCCCTGATCCTCGAACCGAAGGCCCGGCCCGCCTGAAAGAAGCAAATGTAGACATGACACTCGACAAAAGACGCCCGTTAAGCTTCTCAAACCATATCCAGTCCCCCCGTCCTGGACCAAGTGCCCTGATTAATTTATTTATTTCTTTCTTTCTTTCTTTCTTTCTCTCTCTCTCTCTCTCTCTCTCTCTCTCTCTCTCTCTCTCTCTCTCTCTCTCTCTCTCTTGTGTATGTATGTATCTATGTACGTATGTATGTATGATGTATGTATGTATAGATTGCTCACGTATGTGTAGGCATTTACACAGTCTTCACGCATCCAAGACCGAGAGGTTCTACTTCGCCTCCTGGGGAACAGAAGTGGGACGAAGCCCGGATCCCAGAGATTTGAGCCTAGACCCTCCATCTACCCTCTATTAGACCCTAAATGCCCCTTATTTGGGGCCATATACCCCTATTTAAGGGTACAAGGATGGTCCTGGAGATGATTTCTATATCCCTTCGTTGGCAAACATGGGCTGAGTGTATGGAGTGCTTCTTCGGGTAGGTGCCAATCATCATTTCAGGGACAAGGGAGTTTCTGGGAAGGTCATTACGGGCAGGTAAGCAGGAGAGAGGGGCCGGCAGTCCGAGGCGAGGGAGTTTGGGATCCCAAAGCTCAGCCAGCAGAAGCGTCCACTGTGACACAAAAAGCAATGATAAGTGCTTTAAATCCTGCGGCCCCTGGTGTTGAATGAATAAAGCATCATCAAGCATTGAATCCCCACATCCTCATGCCGACATATAAACTGTGAGGCCGCTCACAACCCTTGATACCTTTGATCAAAAGCTCAGGTACGGAGTATGTCGAGAACTGGGTCCGGGCCTCTGGATGCTGAGGAGCAGAATGCTTCGGCGTAGTAGGTTGGAGGATTTCAAGGTCCCTTGAGACAGAGTTCCAACTTCATGTTCCGAAAGACCATGGAGGATGGAGAAGTTTTCGTTGAGCTCCGAGGCAGAAAGCAGTTGTGAGCATCTTCGATTGTGGGCATGGCCAGGTACTCGCAGCAAGACGATCGCATCCGATGATTCTGCGAAGCTTGCCCTGTGTTTCGATGTACGAGCTGCATGCACCCGAATGCAATCTTGCTGTATAGGTGCAGATGAGGTCGTCGGACGTAATCAAAAGATCACTCCAAAGAATCCTTTCACAACCCTTTAACAACCAGTTGAGTCAGAAGAGGCAGCATCTGGAAATGTCTCGTGCGGGGACTTAGCTTCGTCGTCCGCAGCACCTTGCTCCAAAAGCGCCTCATTCGTCTCCGGCCATGGAGTCCATCGCCTTTGTGACACCCGTGCAAAGGATTGCCCCAGCAGCGGCTCCCGTGAGGAGTGAAGCCAAGACAAACCCAAGTGCCCTGTCATGAAATATGTCTCCATTTTGAGAGCCTGCGGGCGTCATTACCCCGTGCCTATTTCGTCCAGAACGGGTCTTGGCCGTGAGGCGGTGGTTTGAAGCGATGACTCAGAAAAGCTCGGCAATAAAACACCCGCAGCTCCGCGGTGCCCTCGTAAGTCCTCGTATTATGATCCTGAACCTCAAGCTCAAGCCCAGATTCAAGGACAAAGAGCTTGAGGGAGGCCCCTTGTTCAGAAGAGGTTCAAAGGCTTATGGCTTACGGGTTGAATATTCGGCCAGTCCGAGTGCCAGAGCATGCGCCGAAGGACTAGCATAGTTCAGAGTCAGATTGCGCCTTGAAACTGCAGGCACCTCCTCATTCGCAACACCACTGCTGCCGGCAGCCTTGGCGACTGCCACTGGATCACTATAAACTTGCTTGGTTACTTACCAGGAGACTCTTCTGTTTCCATGGCCTCAGGATCCTCTGTAGGGAAGATGCCGCGATCTCGTGCCAGGACGGGCAATTCCCTCACTTCTCCAGAGACGCCATCGGTTCGGGGTGCAGGTGGATGTGGTGTCGGATTGTGGATTTTAGGGCGAATATATACATATATATATATACATACATACATACCAAGCGTCAGTAAGCAAGACATGGAGCCAAAAAGCTTGTCATGTAACAATGTAGCTCCCCTGTAACAGAATCGACCTTAAATTGACATACTTACTCTAAGCATGTGGGCCGCTCGCTATATTGGCAGTTGCCAGGTTCAAGGCTAGGGTGCTGGGGCAGGCTGTAATTCGCCGACGGTTTTGCATTGGGCCGTTTGGTTGCCAAGACACTACTTTCTACTCTTTGAACCTCCAGAGCCCTCACATTCCGAGCGGCGCGAGTGAAGCGTTTGCTCACCCCAGCGCAAGGGTAAGCTGGCACGAAAGTCCCGTGGTGGCGACGGATATGTTGGCCGCTTCGACGGAACCCAGGCGGGTCTCGCATGGGTTCAGTGTTCTGTCGGGCGGTATAGGGTGATATCGGGTGTGGGTTGGCTTCCCGTAACCTCACATTCTGAGCCCGGCTCTTTCATGTCTGATGGTGTTGGAAGTTTCTTCTGTTTGCAAAGGCATGGCGTGTTGTGCAGGTTGCGGCCTTTAGCGTCGCAAGTAGAGGAAACTTCAACGGTAGATGCAAGCACACACACACAGAGATGTGCAGACATATAGGCATACATACATACATATACATACACACACCCGCGCACGCGCTCTTTCACACCCACATACTTCACTGCGTGCAGGCATGGGTGCATGCATCCATGCATGCATGCATGTGTACATGCATACAAGATTTATATATACGGGTATGGTATGCAGGTATGTGTGAGAATGTATGTGTGTACGCATGCATGTATGTATTGTTGTGTTTATGTAGGCACAGGTAGGTGTGTGTGTATATAGAAAAACACAAATAGATATGTGCGAGTAAAGAAATACTTGTATGAGCATGTACATGTACATAATATGCGTGTGTTTATGTATATGCATATATACATGTATGTCTATGGGTGTAGATACATACAACTACATACACATGAACCTAAACAACGCGGTTACAGACATAAGCGTATTCGCATGCAATTGCACCAACATGCCTGTTCAAATGCATATGCGCCCATACACATACACACATGTAGATACACACACGTGCATATGTTAGCGCGCATATATCTTGACTGTGAACCTATACATGACCCAAATCCAGAGCGCGTCAGACCCCTTTTTTCAGAGGCAGAAGATGTGACCGAATCGGTGCACCAGAAAGAGGAGACCCTGGCCGCAGCCGGGACCAGGCGTGGCCTCAATGCCCTGCCGCAAGTCTTGAGAGCTTCGTTCGGTTTGGGAGTCAGGGTTCTCGGAGGACTGTGGGTGCGGATATTGGCTTTAGGGTTTAGGGGTGCAATCAAAAGATGAAGCTGAAGACAAGCAGGGAAGCTTAGCTGCTGCAACTTCCCGCATCGTCAGGGGCCGAAGCGCGGCCAAGTGGTCTATCCTCTCCGAACGGATTGAAGGTCTGGCCAAGGCTCCCCGTTTCGGGTGGTGATTCCAAATCTCAGGAGGCAAAGGGTTCCTTCAGTCAGCTTGGCATTCTTGAACTTTGCTTCGGGACTATAGTGAAGTGTATGGATCTCTTTCAACTTTGCAGGTCTCGTTGTGCAAGCGGCCTGGCCCACCTCAGCAGCAGACATAGTTAAACAGGAGATGTACATGCTGATCGGGTCCATGGACCCTTATGCCACGCTGCCGCAGAAAGGAGGAGAGCATGCTGATCGGTCAGCCTTCTGAAGTTGTACTCGTCTTACTTCCGCTGTTAGCTCTTTCGATCTGAATACCGGTAGAGGGAGATTCCCGAAATGCCACCGAAGCCGAAGTTTGTAAATTACTCTGCAACACCAAAACCTGGCAGAGACGAGTGCCTCGAGGTCCGAGATCATTCGACTGCCGAGGGCCCGGCAATGCAAGCGATCGCGAAAAAGATGGCTGAGACGGTGCCGTGGCAAAGAGGTTCTCATGACTCATGTACCTCTCCGAATATTCGCATTATTCGCCGTCTTCATGGCATGACGCAATGCAGCTCATGTCAGAATTATAATTTGCTTGTTGTATTGGTCATTTGCTGTGCTACTTCTTTTGTAGTTGAGCCGCGCGTGCGCGGGTGTGTGGCGGGTGTGTGTGTGTGTGTGTGTGTGTGTGTTTAGGCCTCAGGGTTTAGATGCAATCGAAGTCTCAAAGGTTTGTCTTTCGCTGGTAGGGCTTGAATTGCAGTTTTGTAGTTGAACAGACCTGTCTCGAGACTCGAAACATAGTGCTCGGCTTTTGGCTTGCAGGCTGTCGGGAAGGGGCCAGTGGAAGGTTTAGCTTTCATTTCCCAGGGCACTTACCGTTTCCTTTCGGGACGTGGCCGTAGCCTCGTCCAGGATCAGGAGGTGAATCCCTCATCGATGAGTGGTTTCCTATCCCCCTGATACCCTTGTTGTTAGCACCCTGTACCCCTCTGTCTAAAGAAGTAAACCGTCAAACCTACAGTGGGCCTTGTTTGCTCAGGACTGGGCGGGCCTGGCAGAATCGAAGACTACCATGTTTTCCTACGGAGCCTCTGCTGCAATGTGCAGGTTCAATCAAGTCCTCGGGAGGCGGAGGCAGCCAGAGAGAGAGAGAGGGAGAGAGAGCTCCTCAAAGAAAGCTGTGTGATTTTGTTGCAGCTTTCGGCCGGCGGCCTACACGGCCCCAGCTGAGGAGAAGAGATGTCCACAGATCCCACGGAGGCGCAGTTCGTGAAGATGCTCACCTTCATGAAGCAGCCAAAGCAGGTGCTTGAGGTCGGCATGTTCACAGGCTATGGCGCCATGGCCATTGCCGAAGCTTTACCAGCCGACGGAAAGATCACCTCTCTGGATATCGACCCTTTTCTGAAGACTTGGGTGGAAGATGTCACCAAAGACTTCCCGGAGGGAGCCAAGCACGAGATTGTGGTTGGCCCTGCCCTGGACTCTTTGCAAACCATCGAGGGCAAGTATGATCTCGTCTTCATTGATGCCAACAAGGCCGAGTACAAAGCTTACGTAGAGACCCTTCTCGAGAGAGACCTGCTGCAGAAGGATGTGATGATCATAGCGGACACTTGTCTGCACTAGGCACGAACTCGCACCAGCCCGTGTACAGTAGCATTTGGGTACACCTTAGCATGGCACGCTGACTTCAAGATCTTCGACCAATGATCTAAGCATGTCATGCACAAAGAATCAAGAAGGTACCGGATCGTTGTCGCCAGGGGTGCCAAGCGTGCGGTTTGAGCGGGGTGTGGCAGTACACACGCACGACGTCGCTCATGATGCCACAGCGTTGTCCTGAGGACAATACCCTCTACGTAGGCTACCCAATGCTGTGCCCTGGCGAGTTCTGGGACTGGATCTCCGGGCACAAACGCTTTGGTCCATGAATACTCGATCATAGATCTTGTTTCATGCAACGGAAGTGACGGCCATGCATGTTACCTGTTCTTACTCCTGCTTCAGCCCGACGGTGATTCCGGATATGGTGGATGGGTGAATCCCTTCGAAAAAATCGAATCCTATACACCCTATAACCATATGACTCGTAAGCTAGATTAGAAGGCTCCAATTTTTTTCTTCTATCGTTGCAGTGATTACGACATGGCAAGTTTCTTTGTTCAACCTATTGAAACCCATTGCCAATGCTGCCGTGCGAGAGACAACACAAGCATCATTTGGAGGGCATGGCATCGCCCCTCCTCGATCCCTCGTGGGGGCTGCGGGATAGAAAGCATGAGCACTGCTGGTTAGGTTATGGCGCCAGCATGCGCCAGCACTGCACCTGCAGCCGCAACCGCCCGTATCCTGAATCGTCGGGCCATGATGACTATAGGCTTTAGATCGTGCCTGTCCACCTGAGTCCTTCGCATGATTGGTTTATCTCCGCACACTTCTGACATGTTCCGTTTGGGTTCAGAATTGAGGTGGGCATCGTTGTGTAGTCTTCTGGATTTTCGCTCTCTGTTGGAAGGTACCGGTCTGCATCTTTGAGTTGGGATGCTTTCGATGTGCTTCAGCTGGACAGCCATTTTCCACGACACATGCATGCCCGTGAGGTGATCGTGCCTATCCGCGACGGCGTTTCCATGATCCGCCTGAAGTGATCGTCTTCGTCGCGCTGGCTCGACACCCTTGCTTTCCGGAGATATGACGGGCTTGCCTCAAGATGTTTCGGGACGGGCGTACGCCCCAAGCCCCCAAACACAGATCCTCGCAGCTCTGAACTGCGACCTGTGGCTTTAGCCAGTAGGTGCCTTGACTTTCTACTGTCACACGATTGCACGATCGCTCAAGCTTACAACATCTCACGACAGCAAGGCGGGCGGATGAAGAAGCCCTCTGAAGCCCACACTTCATTATCGGCCCTACACCCCCCAAACCCCAAGCCACCCTCACCAGGCCGTAAGCCCTAAGCCGTTTCATTTCTTTGCGCGCAACTGCACACGGCAGTTCTTGCCTTTTTCTGCAGCGCGGACTCGGCAGCCTGATTGAAAGCATCAGGATCCGAATTCTTTGAATCCGACTCACCTTGTTCAACTTTTGGGTGGGTGTCGGGTTTAGGAAGCTCCTCTTGCAGATGCGAGGCGACTCGCCAAGAAAAGCGGATTGCAGCTGTTGTCCTGCTGCCGGTCTCTAGAGGATGCAGTGGAGTGGAGTTTGCTTCATTTAAATATCATACTGGGCTAGACTAGGCTAGACTAGATTAGACTATACTCTCGACCAGCCCATCCTGCACTTTGGGAATAGTCTACTCATATACGCTCGCTCGGAGGCTCGAGATGAGTAACGAATTTCGTCCACTACTACAATCCAACCCGTACGGGGCCAAATGCAGGTAGGTGTTGCTGAACCTTTGCTAGTTCGGCTTTGTGTGGAGAGGGCAGCTTATTGTTTGGGGCTGATGTCAGGTCTTTCCTAAGCTTCTGGGATGTTGGGGTCTTAGCTCCGATGTTTAAGCCCTGTCCAGCTGTACAGGCGCAGTTTCAGAGGCCGGATATGTGACGAGAGGATAGTTTTCTTCTGAACCCAATATGTGCCACGATTTGCCTGAGAGTTCTCGTCTAAGGATGGAAGGAGCTTTTCAATTCCTACTTCGACAGCATACGCGCAACTGGCATGAAGCTTTGGTGTTCTGAGTTTGAAAGCTTTTGGTAGGCTGAAGCTCCCTGTGATACGCCATCAGTTTGCCCCGAATTCATAATTGTACAGCACAATGAGCTTGTCTTCCGTCGCTAGCTGTGTTGATGCAGCAGTAGTCGTAGCCAACAGTAGCGGGCACGATGCTATATTACTGACTAGACTGACTATGTACTGCTACTACTGAAACGGCACTGCTGCTGACGCTGCTGCTGCTGCTGCTGTTACTACCACTACTACCGCCACCATTACCACCACCACTACTACCACCACCAGCACCACAACCACCACCGCTACCACGTTACTACCACTGACCCTACGCTCACCACCACCACGACGACGACAACAACAACTCCTCTTCCCCGTAGGTACTACTACTACTACCACTCACTACTCCTACTACTTGTACCATGCTGCTGCTGCTGCTACAGCCTGATCCTTGAACTTTCCGGCCATGTCAGCGAAGTTTCCAACACTCTATGTCTGCACTCCAGGGAGCACAAGCACTTCAAAGCCAACGCAACTGAACATCTAAATGCCAAACTCACGCCCGAACTCCGATGAGAGGCTTATAACTGGCTTGAGGCTTCACGGTAAAATTCCTTAAGACGATGAGAGCCCGAGTCTTATGGCTTCAGGCTCCAGCTGGGCTTAGTTTTACGGCGGAGGGCTTCAAATTGCAGCCCTTGAGGCCGTGAGAGGCTTCGTTTTTCGGGGCTTCAGGAACGGGAGCCTTTTACCCCGATGAAGCTTGGTATCAAGGCTTGCGGCTCGCACCAACTCGTTCTTGGAAAGTTCGAGCGCTCCTTTTTTTTGGAATTTCCAGGTTTCGGGCGGGAGCTAAAGTTGGAAACTTTGCTTTGCAGCCCGACTTGTCCTCTACGAAGTCTCCGCGAATTCTGTGTCCACACTACTACTAGTCCTACTCCTCCTGCTACTGCTACTCCTGCTACTACTGCAACTACTACTACAACTACTGCTACGACACCGACACCAACACCAACACGGCTGCTCCTAGTACCACCACCTGAGGAGATAAGGTGGGGAACCTGCTTGCCAGAAGACTGAGGCAGGTCAAGGCAGCCTCGATGTTCTGCATTTGCCAGTCCATCCCATGCTGCTGAGCTGCAAAAAGCTATCAACTGTCAGTTGATGACTCTTCGCTCATTGCGACTTCTTTCTCACTGTGGCATCGGTGGGGGGTCAAGTTGTAGACATGCGTTGTGTGATGATGTGATGCCGGTGGTGACTTGGAATGATTTCGAGGTTCCGTCACATCGACCTCTCGCACATGCAGCGCTACGGCCACGACATGCGATCCTACCTGGCTTTTCACCTGGAAAGTTCATGCGCAGTCGGGTAGATGGGATTTCAAGGCTTGATCTGGGAGCGGCGTGCTGATCACATAGGCACGTGAGCAAGTTTTTCACAGCACTGCCACTTTCAGTAGCAGAGCAGTTCCTTTTCTTCACGTTCCTTCCGAAGCATGCTGGCAAAATCGGTACTTCACTTGCAGTACCAACGCTATATCTAGTCACAGACTTGCCACTGGAACAGGTAGCCGCTTTGGCTAATAAGTGAAGAGCAAAAGGTTCATCCTTAGCAGCGTCGAACCGCCAGTCATGATAACTCGCAAGATATTACCCGGTCACAAAATGCCAGGCCGTTTTCGGAATAGCAGCAAAATTGCATGGCTTTCTGCTGCGGATGCAGTTGGAGCTGTTCATATGCATGCGTGATGTTCGCACGATCCTTCACGCACCCCGCCAGAAGCCAGTAGGCTTCGCGAGTCTGCGGGATAGCTGATAGCTTGGCGGCATGGTGTCGGAGATGATGGTGGTGATGCTGGCTCCAACCGAGGTTATGCACTCGTGCTTCAAAAAGATGATAGACGAGGCCGTGTCCTATTTTGAGTCTACTCAGAGTGACTGCCAGGGAGGTGTCACCAACCGGACCAATATTAACAGACATGAAGCAGCAGAAGGCTGTTAGAGAAGCCATTGTTTCTGAATGTTTGTCTGGTTCGAAGCTCTGGACGCAGCAGCGACTTCTGAAGAGCTTTCAGGTTTACATCTTTTGGTCAGTATTCGTGAAGTCTGTTTGGGCGAAGGAACCTTCAATGCGAAGGATATGGCAAGAAGAGATGGAGCTGCGCCCCGGCCGCGAAGCCAGCGTAAATCAACGTTTCTGTTGTGGTCGTGCTGGCTGTGGCAGTGGTTAGTGTTGTGGTGGCTGCTTGTGACACGCAGCAGGTTCCGAGCTGATGACCACGCATTATGGCACATGGACGAGCCAGTGACCAAGCGATGGGGTTCTGCCTTGGGTACTACTTGTATCAAGTCGATCAACTTGTTGTGTCCTGGAGTTCTTGTGAACAACCGACTTCCATTGCAATCTTGATGCTTCCGACTCAAGGGGTTGGCAGCAGGCATCGTCAGGTTGATGTTTCGGTCACTGCCAGGCATCCATGAGACTTTGCGTGGCTAGACTCTGCCCTGCAGTGGGTGCTACACAAGCGCCACCATCCAAGCCGAACGCGCAACGCTTGGGGTTTGAACAGGGGCTAAAGTGCAGGCAAAGGGGTGTTCGAGAAGAGGACCTCCAGCAGACCAGACTCTGCCTGCGAAAAGCCTGAGACTGGAAAAGTAACAGGGAAGCTCTCGCACGTGACCATGACGGGGGTTTGAACCTGAAGATACTCATTGCAGTTCGCTCGAATGTTAAGCAGCACGTCGACAAGCATGGCCAGCCGTCTTGAAGCATCTATGCCCCAAACATAAACTTGACCACACCCCGTAAATCCGGACGAATTTTTGTTTAAACTCCGTCGCCACAGTGCATGTTTCAAAACAATGTGAATATACGTGACCCAGACGACAAATTCAGGCAATGACAAAAGAGCAATTTGGACCTTAGCTTTGTGTGTGATTGAACCCCTAGAGCTCTAAAGTCTCTCAAACAGCAAGGCCAGAAGTGTGCTGGGACACCGAAGCGGCTTTGGCAAAATGGTTGGGTGAAGGACTGCTCTCCTTCAGGGCATTAAGATCCGTCTGTGCAGCTCCTATCTCCCTCATGCGTTCAACATTGTGGGAGCTGGCACAATCTTTCAAGCGTGGTAGACGGCGAAATTTAGATGTTCATGTCGTTGTTCAACATACGTAGCCGATCGGCTGCTTTGTGAGTATCGGCCGGCGTTACTACATGTTTCCGCACGCAGGAAATGCAGCCTGGGAGGATCACGTGCTTGCGAAGTGCCCGATTCTGTACCTTGCCTTTGGACCCTTTGAAGTGAGACGATGTGTTGCGACCATTGTCCAGCGGATTCTCTGTGGTAAGCTGTGTGCATTTTTGCCGTAATTAACGATCTGAGGAAGTTCACCCGGACCTTCGCACAGCTTTTGGACAAGGAGCCAAGATGCAGGCCAGCTCAAGCGAAAAGCAAGAGGCTTCCCTTCCGATTTGCCCGAAACCGAGTGGGTTCCGAATGGTTGTATCATGTCGTCAAGAGCACTCTAAGAACCCAAGGCCCTGCGCACTAAACGACTGAACCGAGGGACGACCCGGGGTGGAGTCACGACTATAGCTACAGCCCCGGCCCTGGCCCTCCGCCTCTGTTGCCTTAGAGCATCCTGGTGCACTGCATCCGGTCAGCAGTAAGCTTGTGAAGCATGGCAAGATAGCCTTGCAAAGTCGGGGCCGCAGGATAGCTTCGTTCGGAGTTGAGTAGAAGCGACATAGGAAAGGACCGAGGCAATATGTAAGCTGCTACATTTTCGACAACATCTCCGTCAATGGGCTCTTGGACTCGGGAAAGCTGTCGTCTGCAGGTTTGTGGCTCCCGCTGACAAACGGCCAGGGCACTTGGAGGCAAAGGATTCGACTGCATTTTCGCTCTTGTAGGTCTTATAGGTTCATGGATAGCCGCTTTCCTCCGAGCATAGCACAGGGCTTTGCAGGCTTGGTTCGTACGGGACTGGGAGAAGACTTCGCTGTTGACATTGCTTGGCAAATGAGCGTGCCGCCTTCTTGCAGGCATGCTGCTGCCTGGGCGTGGCCTTCCGTTCAGCCTTGACTTTCGAGCCCGCAGACTGAGTCCTGGAGCAGAAGTTGCCAGTCAGCAGTCAGCAGCAGAAGGAGCAGGAGCAGGAGCCGCCGATGCGGCGGCGAAGGTGCTGGTGCCGGCGCTGCTGTGTTCCACACTTCACCTTATGCACAGCAGTACCAGTCCGATAGTGGCCCTGGGCTCGCGAACCTAAAGCTGGAAATGGGTGAGCAGTTTTGTCCAACATTGTGACGGTTGACTTCACTGAAAGTCTCAGCTGGTGCTGGATTGCACGGAGAGTCGGCGCCTTCGAAGGTAATTATTTACAGCGAGTTGCAGTTGCAAAGCATTGCGGGATCCAATGCCAAGATCTGGAGTCCTCCGCATCCCACGAGCTCCACTCCTGCCTCTGACGGAGCAGACAGGGATTTCCTTTCTTCGAAGTATCTAAAACAAGATGGGAAGTTTCGAGGCTGTACATCCCGAGAAGTTGCACTTTGCTGCTGAAGTGTTGTGCTTTCTGGCCAACAAGCTCTCCGCTTTCATCGAGGTTGCATCGCTTCTACCCTGTTGGAGTCGACACGCAGATGCAGTATGTGGGTCCGGCTGCCATTCGGTTTGCGAGCCGTGCCACAAAAGCAGAAAGTAAGGGCAACGAGGAGAAAGGTCGTTCTTTCTTGCAGTTTCACTTGAGCCGTCTCCTTTTTCATGATCTCGGGCCTCTGGACCTGTGCAAAGCCCCAAGAGAATCCCCTTGAGGCACATGCCCGACCTTCTCGAGAGGCAGCAGGCGCCGCCGCAGAGCGGCATTTTCGGGGCTTGAAAACGCTATGGGTCCCAGGACATCTCCAAGACTTCGGGCAAGAAGACCGAAAGCAGACGTGTAGCTGAATCTGACATGCAGGACGGGAGGGAGGTTGTGTGATGTCACACGAAGCCAGGCTTAGGTACTGGAACGGCCTAGGAGCTTCAGACTTGCTAACAATTCTGTGTGGAAGATCTCGGCGCAGAGTCGCTACGGCCTTAACATCGTCTGAGGCGTCGCAAGCAACAAAGCCATGAAGCCGACTTGACATGAAGCATCTTACGGCCGTAGCCACAAAGCAGTCCGTGGGGTGCGATCTAGTGCGATATCAGACAAACCGACTAGCAGCGGGATCTCGAATGTCAGGCGATTGATAGTGCCGGCAGCCGCAACCTCAGCAGCTGCAGATCGGGGCAACGGCTTGCACTCCTCTAGTGCCTGCAGTTGTCTAACTGAGCTCAATTTCTACGGACAAAGATCACTGAGAACCGTGACATGTGAAGAGGCTGTTGGAGATACAGGGCCCCATGCACACACGGGAATTTGTCTGTGCGAGCCAAAACCACAGACAGAGCACTGGGGAAGATGCTCGCCTCTGAGGCCTCGCTCACCGCTGGCAGTTCGTTCGAGACTTCCAGCTCGCGGCTTCTCTCAAGCAGTCTATCGACCACTTGTTATGGCATCTTAGAAGACATTATCACCTGAATCTGAAGCCTGAGAGCTTCGTTGGAAAGGCTTGCGGTATTTGGCACTTGCTGCCATGGCGGAATCCTTGCCAACTGAAGCCTCGAAGTAGATCTGGCCTCACGACGATGTTCCAAGACTCGAAAAAGTTTCCAACCAGACCTGGATTGTGCCTGCAGTATTGCAGGGGAGAAGACTTTCTGCTGAGGCACCGCCACCACTGTCCGCGGTGGCCCTTGCTTTCGGTGAGGGCCCATGTTTTCGTGCGGCTGCTTGGAGTTGCTGGGTTCTACCAAGATTCTACCAGCAACACTTTCCTCGCCGTCGGAACTCCATGACACGGGCGCCTGGCTCTTGATAACTTTGTAGCCATTCAAACGTACCCGGAGCTTCCGATGAAGAGCACTTTGCGGTGAGCTGAAACAGGTAGCACCATGTCCTCTTCTCAGTCCAGCACAAAACCTGAAGACCGACTGCATTTTGAGTGTGGAGGCCCGAAATCCCTCTATCGTCCACCAGGATTTCGCCACACAACCACAATAACACACTGGAGCGAATTGATATCCTGAGCAGACTTGATTTGGTTCGCATGTTGTCAAGTTCGCCACCCTCAACAAACAAGCCTTTTTCCTGGGACGGGGAGGTAGCATCAGGCCTGCATTTCTTTGGCCCAAGGCGCTCAAAGATTCAAGCGCTGGACCCTAAGTCTTCGATCCTAAACCCCAAACGAAGATCGAGACCCTAAAGCCCCCGCCAGAACCACGAGTCGACACCCAAGCTATGCGCAGCACGCTCTAGGCCTGAATAACTCGACAGTAGTGGAAATTCTGCCCCGTAGTGTGTCGATGTTGAAGCATGCGCGAAGCAACCCCTGGTTGGCTTAGTTTGAGTCTACCAAAGTGCCCTGTTGGTGTAGAGATGTTCGACGATGCACCGGGCGCAGCACCTCACGGCTCAAGCAGTGGAATTCATCGAGGAGCCTGTGCTTTGCTGGGAGGGTTTTCAGAGGGGGATCCGGTATTCGCGGGGTCGGAATAAGAAAAGCCCCCGTGCAGCGCATACATACAGCTGGGCGCCTAGCCAATCTACTGACACCCCGAAGCAAAGCCAGCAAACATGCATACATACGTAGTATGTATATAAATAAATGCATACACACACATACACACACACACACACACCGGCACATGCATGCAATTGCATGTATGCAGACATACATCACTGCTATAGGTCGCTTGGTCAAGTTGATGCTTATTCGTTTTTGTTGTGGTCACCGGTCGTCCGTGTCGTTGTGTTTGTTTGGGTTTGCTTTTCCTTCTGTTGCTGTTTCCACTGTTTGTAATGCTCACTGTGAGCGACTCGCGCCCTCGTAACGGGACCTCCACAGTCGAGGAAACTGCCAGTCCTGACAATTCTGCGGCGAGGAGGTGGCTTCAGCCGATTTGGCAGATGCAGTTGGCGACCTCTGCACTCAGCACTTGCTGGCAAAGGTCAACGCTGCCGGAGGCTCGGCCGATCCCTAACTAACTATCTTGGCGGTGTTGTCTAGCATGCCTTGCCAGCTGTGCGACCAATCTGCAAACAGTCAGCTCGTTGGCGGCAGAACTGCCAGATCGTGGCGACCTGAGCAGCTCTGTGCAGAGCACGGGTCTCGCCGAATAAACTGAGCTCGTTCAAAGCGGTGCCGTCTGAGTGAGGAATCGGGAGAATTCGACCTATTGGCCTTCTGGCTGTGCTTCAACTGACGAACCCGAGCTAACCGCTCGAAAGCTAAAAGTCGTGAATGCGAAGCACTCACGAACACATCTTATTAAACGACCCATTGATCATGTCGTGGCCGGCCTTGCCGGTTCGACGAGCGTGAATTTGTGGGGCTGACCCGAAGCCGAGGGGAGACATGCGAACAAGAGGAGTCATCCCTTTGTAGGGCTCCTTGTGATGAGGCTGCGACTAGTTAGGGTCCATATGACTTCCCGTCATCAGGCTCGAATTGATTTCTCAGAGACAGCGATATGGGGCAAGCCGAGGTCTACAGTACTCTTGGCGGAACCAATAGCCAAGTCAGCGGCCCGGAGATTGGAGATGTCACTGAGCATGGCCCTGTGTATTGCTTGGGATTCAGAGTTATGTGCTTTAGGGCCTTAGGGTTTAGTGCAGCTTCCATAGTGGCGCCCGCCCGGGGAATGAACAATGTGAAGTCATAGCTTCATGGAATTTCTAGGCTGCTATGTTGGGGAAGGGCGTGGGAGGTTCGGGGCAGGGGTAGGAGCTCGAACTTCGAGGCTTTGGGCTTGGGGCCTTTCAATGTGGTTTCAAACACCTATTGCGCAAGAGGATGCTGTGTATGAGTTGGGCAAATTTCAGTCTGCTCTAGGTCTCTAGGTCGTCTCGAGCCCTTGCCACGATCTTTCCCTTGCAGTCGCGGGGTTTGGATTTAGAGAAGGGTTTGGCAAGAGGGTGAAAGGTTCATACAGGAGCTGCAGCACAGGGAAATCGTTCAAAACTAGGACGGCCCTTTGGTCCGGTCTGCTGCAGGCTTTGGCGGAGGCCGTGAGGATCTCAGTGCCAGGCAGGCTGAGCAGATCTGGTGGCTTGTGAAGTTGGTCAGCGACTGTCAGCACCCGGACAAGAAATAATTGAACAGTGGCAGCTCGCCAGCCGTATCCCTTCGGAATTGCAAAGAGTGTAAGCGTAGACGATGGCCGAACTCCAGCATGCAGAAATGCAGACTAAACCTCCACACCACATCCGATCCGGCATCGGCAATTGGAAACCCACACGGAAGGAAGTATTGAGTGCACTGACTCTAGCAGTGACAGACATCTGGATGTGACTCGTGCTGCTGGCAGCATGTGATAGTGCCAACCTGCGCCACCACCATCATGCTCACAATCCGTGTCACCGCGGTTCTACTTTCGGCGTATGCAATGATACCAGGCGAAGCACAGATCTGAGGTTGAAGCTCTGGCCAGGGACTGCGCAACACTGCCTGAGCACCTCGGCTTGAGATACTCGGAGTGCATCAGGTGTGTCGGGTGGAAATGGAGTTTAGCCACAAGTTGGCAGACCTCATCTTCCAACTTGATATTCTTCCGAGTCTTTGACTGCAAAACACACTCTTTCAGTAGTAGCTTTGCCTAAGCCATGCCTCCACTTGACGATGTTCACGTGCAGTCTGGTACTGCCTTGCGGCCTGTCATGTCCCTTGCGGTTCAGTAGGACCTACACAGGGGCGACTGGGCTGCAGACCCGAAGCTTCGGTGCCGGACGGCTCCTCTAAAGCTTCGTGCTCCCCCGGGAATCCTTGCATCTCAAGATAACCGTAGGCTTGCAGGAGCAAGCACACAAGGCCGGTGAAACTCATGCTCGGAGAAGCCTGGCAAGGTCTGCAGTATTCCCGACCCAGGGGACTTTGATGCTACAGCGGTCGATATGATCGTTTTTCCTGAAACTCCCAGGTGGGTGGACCGGGACTTCGAGAAGGCTCTCGCTCCCCACATGTTGGCGTTTCAACGGGAAGGGGCACTATCGGGGCACTGTCGGTGAGATGCTCTTGCAGTCTCGTTCACAGGAGTATGCGTCGGAGGATGACTACTCATGGGCTTTTGGTCCTGCCGTCGCGGAGGCCGGGGGCTGGGGGTGTGAGAAGAAGCATCAAGCACCCAATTGGGATGCAGGCTTGTGCAGCCGCTGCTGCAGCTATCGCCGGCCTTGCCGAGCAGCTTGGCCGATCGAGTAAAGCGTGCTTGTCAGAAGGGTGATAGAACCACATAATCCGGAAGACGGCTTGCTGTGGGAAGTTCTATCAGGCCCGGGCTGATTGATGATGCTCCAGAGCTGGCACTGGCCTTACCATTCAGAAGCCGGTGCTGTTCGGAAGACTGCAAGGCCTTGGCTCAACACGGAGCAACAGAAATGAAGGCGAACCGATGTGTTAAGCTGAACATGGGTACGCAGTCTGCTGCGCTCTGCTCCTCGAGAGCACCTAGTTTTTCAGCTTGCAGCAGATGCCAGCAATTAACATGCAGGTGGGTTCTTACCATTAAGATTATTCTCATGATGATTAAGATAAATCACTATTTTTGGCTCTATGATTATCATGACAATTACTGTCTTATGATTACTGTGTCAGGGCAGCTTTTGCCTCACTCTGTGCTGCCTTTGATACCTTGCACCCCAGGCTCTGACGGCGCCTTGGCCTTAGAGAGCTGCAGCCAAATGCGTTAACCTAAAAGTTCGCTAGGCCTCAGAAATAATGTGGGGGCCTTATTAATTACCTAGTTTGGGGGTTCCGCATCGTTTGTATAGTATAATACCTAAGCATTAAAGCCCCTGTGTCAAATCCCTCGTTCCCCGAGTTTCCACCGAAAGATGCGTCAGTCGGCGGAGATAGACGCGACGTTTGTCTGTCAGACGGAAGCCATTTATTCTCAGAGGTTGCAGCCCGAGGTCATTTGGAGCATTAGGCGAGCTGCACATTGAACTTGAAAGCTGCAGGTTGGAAGCTTTCGCCTTGGATTTGGATTGTCCGAAACCAAGACGGGGCTTCGGAAGGGGGCGTCTGGGAGGCTGTCAGTTTAGTGTTTGTGCTTTCAAGGCTTGTATTTAATTCAGTTTCGGGTCAATCTTTCACGCTCGCGAGCCCCTAAACCCGGACAGAACATGTTCGAGCCATCCGTGCTAAGACACCGGTGCCATACATCGACCAAGGCATGTCAGCCCAACCTATACTTTGATCGCACCACCAAGTTCATGTCAAGTACTTCGCTTCTTCAACACCGTAGTGCCCCGCCGGACGATCAGTGTCGGCCTTTCCATGGCTAATCAAGGCCGCAGGCTTTCTTCAGGTCCTAGACTAAGTCATCGCTGCAGAAGCCTTTGTAGCTCGACCTTAGGCCTGACTCCATACATCTATGCCGGTCTTTGCCGCAGCGGGAAGCTGCAGCTGCACTCTGCCGAAGGACAAGAACAGGGGGGATTTAGGGTTCAGAGAAGTCTTGCGTCGGATCTATCGTACTTCTCAATCATACGCACGCCGCCTTCAGCCCGAAACAAGCTGCGTAAGTCCTCATCAGATGTTGAGCACTGCGCCATGCACCAATTGTCACCTTGAACTGGTTAATCACGGCAGACGCAGGAGCCAGGATGCAGCATTCGGCTTTGATGCTGTCTTACTGATACGGCACGAGTCCCCCTCCAAACAGGTTTCACATGTCATTTCACATTGCCGAGGTCAGCAAAACCAAGTAAGATGCATTGGCAGCCCATCCCTCAAATCTGCGACTCCCAGGATAATGTGCATGGTTCTATGCCCCGAAAAGCTGGACCTTTTCGAGTGAGAGCGACTCAGACAATCCTGACTTCTTCGATTCTTTTGGTGGCCAGTTGGGGGGCCCTTTTTCAGGGCGCCGCGCAGCAGACGCTCGAGACCGGCGAGTGGCGAGGTTTGGGGCCAACTGCCTTTGCTTAATTGAATCTCCATGTTGCGGTCTGATTTGATTCTTGTCGTACATTGCTCAGGGTTCAAATATGTTTGAACGACTTGGGTTGTTGGGCCACGGAGTTTATGGCCTACAAGGATACTTTATGAGCTACACGCCTACTCGGCCTACTCGGTTAAAAGAGACAAACCCATAGGGCCACGCAAGAATCGAGCAATCGAGCGAGGTCGCTACAGGCGGTCGCCTCCTGGATGCTCGCGGCTCTTGGAAGGCTTGGATACACTCCTCCATTTGTGGCTCTCCCGGGCTGCAGGCTTGAGCTGATGCCTGGACTTCTGCAGGATATATCGTGCCAAACGAGCATATTCTATGAAGCTATGAAACTAGAGTCTTCGAAGCTACTGCCCAGGGAGAGATCATAGGTTTTCTCAACATCCAGTTTTCCGTAAATTCTGCTGACACCGGAACTCTGACAACCGAGCTGTGCAAGTTGCGGCCCATTTCTGCTCCCGTGGTCGCTCTTGTAGTTTCTTCATGCTACACACCCACTGATCGGTGTCAGGAATGTGGGATATGACAACCTGACAGCTCTGGTGCTCTGGGATCTTGCGGTGCAGCCCCCAGCAGCGAACAGAAGACCCCAACCCAAATCTGACTTTGGGGCCTCAAGCATCAAGAATCTGTTCTGCTCATAAGTCCACAAGTCTCTGGATGATCGGGGGTGGTAGTTTGGCCCCCGAAGAAGCATTCCTAGGCATTAGATCCTTCTAGTATGGTATGGGCCCAAAACCCGGTTCCCGCTGCTTTCAGGGTCTTGTTCCAGACCAGGTCATCGGAGGCGGCGGGTTCCTTAACATTATACAAGATTTAGTATATAATATACAGCATTATCCTGAAAACTCGGGCGGCCCATAATCCTGAAATGCTCCAGTCCGCTTACTGGAGCATTCATGCGAAATATGCAACATCTAGGTAGTTAGCTTGGTTGAGCGATCGGCTAGAGCAGTACCATGGTGCATCCAAACAGCAATCTTGAGCTTCGAAGCACAAATGCCGAGCGAAACCTGGCTCAAACAAGTGGCAAGATACTTGGGAAGATCCTTCTAGTGTGCCTCTGCAAGTTCAGAACCAATGCAGACTTCTCAGCACCACTCGCATCTGAATCTGTCTACAGCAGACGTCGAAGAATTGCTGCAAGCGTCTTCAACTGGAGATGCCGATTTATGTGAGCGTATTGTCAAGCGACAGCCGAACATACTGGAGGTTTGCGACAGAAGGGGGCGGACCCCTCTCATTCTTGCCTCGTTGCACGGCCACATGGAGGTGTGCAAAGTACTGATTGCTGCAGATGCAGATGTGGAGGCGGTTGACAAGGCCGACAAAACCCCGCTAGCCTACGCAGCATCTCGCGGACACCGTGAAATCGCCAAGTTGCTGCTTGACCATGGGGCCGAGATTGAGGCCACAGACTGCATTGTGAGGGATATGGGGTGCTCTGTACTTTAAAAGTATTTTCCGGCCACCAGTTGACTTGCTGGCTTCGATGTGATTCACGGTTTCACCCTGCACTCGGTGCAGACGAGCTCGCGAACAAAAGCATCCGCATCAGACGTGGCGGATGCAAGATTCAAGAGGACTCTTCAGATGATCCTGCTTTGAGGCGGTTGTGGAATTCTGCTAGTTTTGAGCGGAATTTAAGTCGGCAGCATCCTGGCACCTTCGACTAGCTCTTCGCAGTGATAGATCCGCCTTTGCTGTAGCGTTTCAAAACCTAGCCGAAGAAAACATCCGAAGCCTAGTAAGCCTTCAACAATTGCGTGAAGCTGTGAGAATCCACACGCTGGAAGCTCAGGGCTGCGACCCGCTTTGGGCCTGAGCCCCGGCCGAGCGCAGCCAGAGTGCAGCAATGTCGGTGTAGTAGTCCAGGACTCTGCATGAATACGGATTCAAGTCTCAGGTGGCTTTGAGCGCTACTGTAGTCATAGTGTGGGTCTCCGTGTTCGTTTTCAAAACTCTGAGCTGTTAGTGGTGATGGTGATGATGTTCATCCGGTTGGCGTTAAGACATCGACCGCTTGACTACTTGCGCAATCGCGACGACGATCAAGTGATCTAGTGAGTGTGATGGTTATGACTCATACGAAGTTGAAGCTGCTCGCGATACGGAAGCATTGCATTTCAAGCATGTTGATGTTGTGCCGTTACGGTTGACAGTCCCAGCAGATCTCAGCAGCGACTGGCAGTAGCAGTACCAGCCTACTGAGGCCTTGGTGCTGGCGCGCGGCACCCTATCTTTGCCTCATCGCAGCGGTCGGGCAAAAGCTCTGGATGCTCCCGAGGCCACTTGTGGATTATGCTTTCAGCCAAAGATCAAGATTGAGAAAGAGAGAGAAAGAGAGAGAGAGAGAGAGAGAGGCTCAAGTCTCTCGCCCTTTTGGGAGCCCGGCTGTCAACCTGGTGGGGGGCTTGAGGCCACCCGCCCGCCGAAGCGTTTGGGCTCGTAAGCGCCCTCCAGGGACCGCGCAAGACCTCTTCTGAACCTGGCCCCTTCGTGTTCCTCACCTTTGTGGGAACCTTCGGCTGTCACCCGGAGAGAGAGAGAGAGAGTCTCACCTCCGCAACAGTCGGGGGCGCTGAAGCGCGCGGGCAAGGGGGTCAAACCTCTTGCCCATAGCCCTGGCGATCCTGGCGAAAGAAAGAAAGAGAGAGAGAGAGAGAGAGAGAGCGCGAAAGAGAGAGAGAGAGGTGGTTGGATGTTTACCCCAAGCAAGCAAGGGTAGGATGTTTATCGGGATATGTTGTGTTGTTAGTTTCCGCTTCGGGTGTAGAAGTACGGGGCTCTACGCTGAATCTACTGAGTTGTTGAGCGATACGTGATACCCCTTATTTCCAGATTTGCACTTCGCAGTGTCCACGGTGAACGCGCTTGGTTGCTGTAGCTTTGGCAGTGCCAGTTGTGCGGCCTGATGCTTCAGGCAAGTGAAAAAAGCTCATTCGACCCTCACGGCTGCAGAACCCTGAGCCCGGCATCGACAGCAAAGTTTAGGTGGATGCATTTGTGCCTCGCAAAATCTCTCGAAAGAAGCCTCAACCTTTCGAAGCACGAGTCTTCTTGAGGAGATTGAGCTTCTCCATCAGACAGTCGCCCTTGCTGTACTAGGCATTTGTGTCTGTCGGTTCCTCTGGGATGTTAACCTACACATGATGCATATTTTTAGGGGGTTCTTTCATATGCGCATAAACTACTCGTCTAATGAGTCTAATGTATTTGTTGAAAGTGTTCCTGCTTATGTTATGTCAGCTTGTTGTATTATGTTACAATATTGTATCAGGATTTTGCACCCCCCCATCGCATCATAGTATCTTGGCTTATGTATACTATGTCATGATACTCTGTGCTACAACACATCATATTAGTTCGTAAGGTATTGTATCGTATTGCGTTGCATTTGCTAAGTCATACTAGATATTATTTCAACATGTATTACGCCATATTACAGTACATTGTATCTTGGTGTGCACTGGCCCGATGATAATCATGTTTCACCATTCCAAATCAACTGGTCCAGAGGTGCCCACGCATGAAGACAGAGACTCGGTACATGGTATGCCTGCATCGGGCCCGGGCACGTGGCTTTCAAACGAAACGATGCCGGTTCAACATCAACAGCGCCGCGCAATTCACTGCCATTTGTATCATTCTGTGTCTACAGTAGCAGAGTCGGTCAGTAAGTAAATTGTGACATTTGCATACGTGCATTTGCATGTGTGTGTGTGTGTGTGCACACACCCTCGGGATTCCGAAACTCCACTGCCGATGCCCAACCCTGCTTTCAAGGTGTTGGGTGTCTTCATGGTGAAGTTGGACGTTGAAGGTTTTGGGTTGCAGCGCTTAAGGCCACGTGTCTCCCCGAGCTAGTTTCAACCGGCCTTCATGACATGACTGCATGTCACCGCGAGAAGTATTCCTGCACAGTGGTCGAGCTCGTTCTTGCAAGGTCAGGTGACAGCAGATCTGTCCCGTGTAGTTTTCATCACAAGGACCTTCACAGCTCGAAATCTGAGTCGGAGGTCTCTTGATAGGAAGGCATGAATTCCAACACCCATTGCTAGGCTTGCACACGGCCACCGTTGCTTTCGCCAGGGAGGAGTTGGAGGAGGCACAGCTTGCTATGACCCAGCAGAACTACTGAACCATGAGCACCAAGCCACTAAGCTTTGGGACAGACGGCAGTATATAGGCTTCTGTTTTCTTTCTGAAACATCAACATGCCGAAACCTTCGGGCTTGGGTTCAAGTTTTGCGCACACCGAACCGTTCTTCCTTCTTCAATCGAAGTGTCGTGCAAAGAATGGCTCGTGCTTGCCTGGCGGTGATCGCATCCGGCTTGGCTCTTGGGCTGGGCGAGACCTGTGTGGAGGAGCACAGCTTGATGCAGCAGAGGATGGACGCGGAAGCTCCCAAAGCTCCCGTCTCTTTCTTGCAAACCTGGCAGCTCACTAACGGCCATCCGGCATCGAGTTCCCACAGCCCGGAGAGCCTTGGGGAGCTTACGCAAGGACTCAAGAAGATGGCAAAGAGCCGCAAGCAAGGCTCAAAGCTGGATGAGTCCTCTTCGGGTGCCTTGGACGGGATCCAAAAGCAGATGGACAAGATCAAGAGGGACACCCTGGATGACCACCACACAGCCATCAAGCAGCTCAACGCCCTCTACGACGCCATAACCAGCTGCCAAGCCCCCTCCTCTTCAAAGCCGGAGGGTGCCAAGGATAAGCTCGAAGGCCAGCACGCCACATGCAGAGGCGAGGAGGCCGCCGCCCTTGGAAGGCGAGAAGTTGCGCGGGTGGAGTATGAGGCTCTCACATCGCCCCCGCAGCCCTGCTTCGCGCAATTCAACGACGGGAGTCTGGGGACCTTGCAACACCACGACGTGATGATGGACTGCGCAGAGAAGATCCGAACCTGGGCCAACACTCTCCGGCAATCGGGTCCTAAGAAGAAATCGGACTACGAAAAAGCCGATGAGAGGTACCTGCAGAAGCAGGCCAAGTGCAACGGCCTTCAGCGTCAGTTCGAGAGCAGCTTCTGTGCATTGCAGACGAGCGTCGAGGACGGATGTGAGAGTCTGCAGAACTGCTACAGTGCGACCCTGGGCAGCTGGGAGAGCTCCAAACCCGACTTCCAGGCCATGGAAGCCTCGCGCAAGGCGACCTTCCTGGCGGCTGAGAAGGTGATTTGCCTGGTGACGGCCATGATGCAGACGGAAGTGCATGATAATGACATTGCAGAATGCGACAACCTGCAGGTGGACACTAAGGCCTTGGACTTGCCAGCCTTCCGCAATGCGCCGCCCGTGCCGCCTTGTGACTATTCCTCAGTGTCTCCGGCGCCCTGCGACGCCGGCTTTGTCACTCAGTACTACACCTCTCAGGATTGGCATGCAGAAGCCCCTGCGGACACCTGCACTCCTTGCGCAAGCGGCAGGTTCTCCAATGCGCCTTAATTGGAAGAAGATTCTCTTCGGCTTCACACGAAGTTCTTTAACAAAGGCCGTTTTAAGGTGGGCTGAGTGCCAACTCGCACCAACTTCTTTAGGAAGGCCCACCCTGTTTTGCAAAGCCCTGCTCTAGGAGAAAGGTTACTTCCAAAGAACCTGTTGAACTGGAATTCCCTAGCCCTTTACCTATATACTATAGAGCAAGGCTCAGATCGAGGGTTCTTCTGCCTGGTGCTCAAAGAGCTGAGGCTTTTCCTCCCTCGAAGGAAGACATGTCCTTCCGGCCAGAAAAAACGAGGGATTGGGCGTCTGGAGATTTTTGTGAGCTTGAAACCATGCAAGGGCCTCATTTGGTGAGTCCGAGTGCTGAGTGCGAGAGTGCAATGCCCAAAAACAAACAAACCCAAGACCAGAAAACCGCATCCGAGTGCGAGCATATAAACCCTGAATCGTTCCAAGTCCAACAACTGAAAGAAGAAGCCTTGGTTGTCTTTAAGAGAAGGGAGCTGGTGGCGACGAGATCGCCATTGCGACCCGCAGCGCCCAGCTTGCCAAGCATCGGCCGGGGACTCGAATCTTCTGTTTCGGGTTCTAGGGTGTGTTTGAGATGTTGGAGTAAAGTGGGTGAGCTTGCTTCGTTAAGTCTTGACGCTGATATGGGCTAGTCAGCTAGGTCTTGACGTTCCGAGGGTGGGAGTTTGAGATAAGCGATTCGGCGAGAGCTAGTGCTCCGTCTCTATCGCTCCCTCCTTGGCACAGAGAGAGAGAGAGAGAGAGAGAGAGAGAGACAGAGAGAGAGAGAGAGATGGCTTTAGCTTGAGCTGAGATCTACACTCGTCTTTCACACCCCTTTACCCGATAACACATCGGGTGGGCATGCTGCCCGGGGGACCTGACCGTCCCTCATGCCGCGAGAGAGAGAGAGAGAGAGAGAGAGAGAGAGAGAGAGAGAGAGAGAGAGAGGGAGAGAGAGAGAGAGAGAGAGAGAGAGAGAAAGAGAGAGAGAGAGAGAGTAGCCATTTTGGCTCAAGCCGTGAGTGCTCAAGGCCTGAGCCCAGAAAGTCAGGAAGGCCTCACAACCGGGGGAGAGCGAGCGAGAGGGAACGTGCACAGCTCCCTCAATCCGACCGCGCGAGCCCTCCTACAAGTTTGCTGTCCTACACGCCTACACCTTCCTCGCTCTGACCCGTGACCTCGGTGGGAACAAAGAACGAGGGTGGCTCTGTGCTGACCGTTCGGGAGTTCTCCAACCCTCACCAACAAGGCAAACGGCGAGCCTACAGGACTTCTCCTTGCATTACGCGATTCGCCGCAAGAGAGACGTGGGAGATTTCGGACATCCTGGGCACGATGGAAGTCCTACGTGCGAAATGGGCGAACTAGTGCTCCTTGTTGGGGGACATGTGGGGTTCTGAGCTTTGCTGAGCCCCTGCCAGTACTGAGCACGCAGACTGTCTGCCGAAATTCTTTAAATCACCCCTTCGGGGGATGTACAAATATACTCGCACCTCTGGGGACCAGGCCTCTAATTGGATTTCGCTCCGCCCGCCCTCTCCGACCACGAAGTAATTTGGCATGTTTTTCCTGGTCGCCCCCTCGGGCTTGTTCCAGCTGAATGATCCGTACAAGTGCGAACTGGGGACCTCGTTTTTTCATGTTTTTAATAGACTGTTTGCATTAAGTGAGATACTTGTGGGAAGCGAAGACCCATTTCTCAAAGGATCGGGCATGTGTCAAGCCCATCATCGATGAACCCAGTAATTATATAGTTCGATACATCTCTTTGCACAAACTGGGAGACTCGATGATTTTTCACGCCCGCCGAAAGCCTCATACCACATGGGGGGCCCATGAGGCCAGGGGGCCTGACCCGCCCCCTATGCCCGGCAGAAGAAGAGAGAGAGAGAGAGAGAGCCATTTTGGCTCAAGGGCCCCTCGCCTACTTTGAGCAAGACCTTCCTTGAACCTGGCCCCTGAGGGCTTGCCCCGAAGGGTGGCCCAGCAGTAGGGGAAGGCAGCATGCAACAAGACCGTGGAACTGGCAGTGATCCCGCGGACCCTCGAGAACTACGTGGACAAGCCAGCCGTGCACCAGGAGAAGACGACTTACGAGCACCCCTCCCTCGGCGCCGACCAAGTGCAGACGCAAAACTACCCGCTGAAAGGGAGGGGGACAAGAACGCGCGGATGACTGAGCAGATGGCAGGAACGCCAAGAGTGAGAACCACACCCTACGATGGAGAGAAGGGGACACCATCCCCCGAGTGCACAACCAAGCACCCCTTTACGGCCATCCGAATGGACAAAGCACGACGGCAGTGACACCAGAGGAGCAGTGAGGCAGTGTAGTTTTCTGTTTCTCGACGCCTTAGTTTTTGCAATGCCGCCGGGATACCCGGCAATCCGTGTACAACACCAGCAGACGCTTCAAACACAAGAAAAGTGCACCTTCTTGAACTAATTAGAGTGCGGGGGGCACACGCCACAAACCTTTCGCGAACCTCAAAGTGGAGTGCCCGCAGCAAGCACACGGCTTGCGGGGCCGTTAATTACAGCATGTTTTTGCAAGCCCTCGTGCACACGCTTTTCTTTTCGAGCATTCTTCCTTTAACCTTCCTGATTGGTGACAAAGTCGGTGGGCCTCAACGCCACTCGAGAGGCACACGCCTTCAACAGGGAGGCACACGTTCCTGTAAAGACCGAGCCCATTCATTCAAAAGAATGGATGGGGCAGCGCACCCGCGCGGGACGGGAGGACTGCTCCCGCCCCAAGCCCCAAGCAAAGCAAAGCAAAGAGAGAGAGAGAGAGAGAGCGAGAGAGAGAGCGATCCCATGATGGATGGGGCCGTCGGATGCGCGGAGGGGGAGGACTGCTTCCCCTCCTTGCCCCTGAGCAAAGCAAAACAGAGACAGAGCCAGCCAGACAGACAGACAGAGACGGAGAGACAGACAGACAGACAGACAGAGACAGAATGAGACAGACAGAGAGACAGACAAGACAGACAGACAGACGGACAGAAGGACAGACGGACAGACGGACAGACAGACAGACAGAGACAGACAGAGACAGACAGAGACAGACAGAGACAGACAGACAGACAGAGACAGACGGGACAGACGTACACACAGAGAGACAGACAGAGACCAGGGATAGACAGACACACAGACAGACAGACAGACAGAGAGAGAGACAGACAAAGACAGACAGAGACAGACAGAGACAGACAGAGACAGACAGAGACAGACGGAGACAGACAGAGACGGACAGAGAGACGGACAGAGACAGACAGACGGCCAGAGACAGACCGACCGACCGTCGGACGAACCTACGGACAGTCGGACAGACACAAATTTATATATGTATGTATGTATATACCGTTATATACCTGTATACAATATACGAATGCATATGTATGCGCAGGTGCGCGCACCCAGATTTGTGCTCCCTCCCCCACACACTTTGTTATCAGGGCTACCCTGGCAGCAGAAGTGGTCAGCTGCCACTTGCTGCCACCTTTGGTGTGGCCTGGCAAGCACACTGACGTGTTCAATGATTCGGGTTTTGGTGATTACACAAAGGTTTGTTGAAGAATTTCGATTGTGCATTTCGATGGTGCATTTTCTGGCTGTTGCTCCGGAGAGACTAGTGACTAGTGTGTAGTGATGTGGTCGTGGATCTTAATTAAGAACACCGTGCGATTTTTCTGGATTCTCTGGCAGCGGGTGTTCGAACAGAGGGAGTTCACCCGTCGCAGCTTAGTTCTTTTACCCCCGCCCCGCCGGTGATGAAAATTCCGTTGTTGCTGCTGCTGCTGCCGCCACGCATAACAATTTCAGTAGAATAAAAGTAGTTTCATACCAATGCTCCGCCAGCTCCTACTACTCCTATTCCTACTACTCCCAGTCCCACTCCCAGCTCCCACTCCCACTCCTTCTTCTTCTTCTACTACTACTACGACCACCGCCACCACCACCACCACAACCCTACACCTGCGACAGAATTCGGACCTGGGAAGCAAGCTAACCGTCTGCGGATGATCATGCAGCTGTGTGACCTGTGACGATGCTGAGGTGCTGGCCGGTGTACATGCCTGGGCTGTTAATTCGTAAGCGCGGCTGGTCCTAGAAAATGTGCACAGCAAGGCGAGCGGCCGATCAATTCGGTTTGCAGCTGCAGCTGGCACATTTTCTGGCATCTGTTCTTCAGGCCGTTTGCACCCTTTCGGGACTAGAACTTCAAGCCCTGCAAATTCCCAGCCCTTGGTTCACAGAGCAGTTCATTATGCTGAAAGGTGGAAGCCGGGCTACTCTAGAGGCCTAAATACTTACCTACACAATTTTGGGGGTTCCCGATTATAGTTTTAGTATCATGGGACCCAAAACCCTATTCTAACAATTAAGGCCCCTTTAGTATGCTGAACGGGGGAAGCACTGGTATCTGAAAGGAGGCTTGTCTCCCATCGCCCCGAGCCCAGTAGCAGAGGAGTGGGCGCGAAAGCTGAGACGACCCTGAGCTAGATAGTTGAACCATAGAGTTTCGGGGCATATTGTACTGTGATCATAATAAGGAACCCCCAAAATAGTTTAGGTAATTGTCTTGAACCCAAAGATCGCCAGCAGCTGCTAGGAAGTATCGGCGTCTGAGCACAAACCCTCTGCTCCCGAAGCCTTCTCTTAACCCCCTGCCTGAGACGCTAATGCTGTAACACATTATATAAGCCCCAGGGTGATTTAGAATTTCGTCTTTGTCGCGTAGTAAGTGCTTGATTGAGGGCCGTGAAGGGTTCGAAGTTCAGGAGTAGGGCGGTTCAGTTTCACTGTCACGATCCAGTCGACTCATCGTTGTGATCAAAACGAAGTCAATTATCATTATGATCATTACCATTATTCTTGTTGTTATCTTGATGATCATTTGCCATATGTTTATTGTGAGCTGCAATACCGCAACCCTAAACCCTAAACTCCAATACTAGTGGAGATAGGTTGGACTATGTGGAGCCTTGCCTGCTGCGTACGAGTGCGAGCGTCCAAACTCCAATATAGTATTCTAGTGTAACCTTAAACCCTAAACTCCAACATAGTATTCTAAAACTCCAATATAGTATTCTAAAAGCTCCAATATAGTATTCTAGGAACTCCAACATAGTATTCCTTTTTCTTACCCGAGCCGGCAAGGCGGAGCTCATCGAGGAGCGCCCCGCCTGGGCCCAGAGCCCTGGCCTGCAGGGCGAGCTCGAGGCTCTCCATCCGAGTCCGAGTGCGTATGGATAATGGTCTTCTTAAAATTATGCTTAAAATTATGCTATTTTGAGGAGTCCCTATTCAAGTATAGTATAATATGTCCCCAAACCCTGTTGCAACTATTCAGGCCCCTACCTTGTGGGTAAGGGTTCCTACTATAAGGGGTTACTTTAAGGGATCTATAGGGGGTTTGGGTTGAGGATATGCGTGGCTCTCTAAAATTGGGGGTACCTTTTAAAGGGTCCTTTTTGCTAAGGGTCCCGCACTATTGTGTGGATCAAAAAGGGACCTTAATTTGGAGAACTACTTGTATCTTGTTCTTGGCTCGCTTTGTTGTTTGCTTACGGTAATCAGATGTTCACGGTGTTCTCGATTGAGTTGGTTAGAGATTGAAACTTTAGTTTGTTATCCCTGTCTTTTTCTCCGGTGTAGGGGTTGTCGTTTTTGTGGCTTTTCGGTAGGTGGAGTTTGGTATTAAGGCTTCGCAATTCACTGGATTCAGGGCCCGGACTTGGCCATGTCAGAGCTTGCGGTTATCAGGGCATGTGGTTCGGGTTCGTGTATAAGGCGTCTGTCTTGGCCTTCGCGATGAGTTTGCGCTGTTTTGCATCCGGCGTCATTCTTGTAAGCATGCCGCTCATACAGGCTGCAGATTCTAGGAGTGTGTACTGGAAGCTGAGCAGGCGGACTCCGTGCACCATGCGCTCTTTGCTCTAGTATCGCGATGATGTCGGCATGCCATGCTCGCGATGTCTAGTGTACAAGCATGTCAGAACTGCCTACGACATTTCCACTTACGATTGGGACAAAAAGGACTACAAACAGGTCCTTACAGTAGTATTATTAGCCGCCAGCGCGAACACAAGTATTATGATACTACAGGCTTCGATGGTCGTTCGAGCAGGTCAAGATGGGAATGCAAAATGGGCAACTCCACGAACACTCAACAATCAGTAGCGGTTCCTTCCGACACCGACTTAAGACCGAGAAGGTTTTGGGAAGCAGGTCCTCAGCAGGTTGACGCCCAGCAGTCGCAATAGGCCTGGATGAAAAGAAAGGTTGCTAGCGTCATATAGGCGACCCTATAATATAGTACCCTAAATAGTAGGATCCTTATTATGAGCTCCCTCAGGCTGCCTTGGATGCCGCGCGTGGTGCGGCCGCCTCACTCGCCGAGGCTTGGGCTGGTATTGTTGCGCCTCAGACATTCTGGGTTCTGTTGGTTTGCAGGGTTTCGCCTCTTGCTGCTGAGTTGCAGTGCTCATGAACAAGCGCACTTGTTCTGTCAGAGGCGAAGCTGGCATAAAATCATAGGAGGCCAAAAGGGGTTTAGCGTATGGGGGTTTAGTAGGGATTAGGGTTCCCATAATAGAGTTCATATGAAGGAATCCCTACCCCAAGAATCTTGAAAGCAGGTGGTCTCGAACCTATAGTCCCCAGACCCCTAGTGCCTACATAGTATGTGTTCTGTGTTCAAGAGAAAAATTTCAGGCAAGTTGTTGCTTTTGATTCTTGCTTCGATTATGCCATTCAGGGCAGACAGGCTATGTTTAGCACCGATCGGGGGATGCAACCCCTCAGCCCAGGCTATTTACAGTTCGTGAGAATTCAGCCACCAACCCCCTAAGGGCCCGCATGAGGCAATCGCACCTCTGAGTTTCACCATGCATTGCCATCCCATTGCGAGGTTCTCGGCGAGATTTGGGCAAGCTTCGCTCAAGCGCAGGCCAACAAGCCATGACTGATCAAAACTGGATTCTGAGGTTGCCTTTTGAGATATGAGGGTTGTTCCAAATGTCCGTGTCAACACTTCATACAAGCCCGGCCATGAGGGTTTCAAGGGTCCGGGAAAGCAGGCGCGAAAGGAAAGTGCTTTTGCGAGGCGCGAAAGGAAAGTGCTTTTGCGAGAGGGCTGTATCACACTACAAGATTCAAGGTAAAAGGTCGTTTGAGGTGGGCATTATTCTTCAGTGGCTTTGAATTTGCTGGAGGTGCAGCCTGGACCATCTCTCCGCAGCTTCCTCCACAGTGCGGCAGACATCGCTTTCGCATCCGACGTGGCGCTGGCGACGGCCGGAGGTCCCGAACTTGTTCCGAGGGTTCAGGGTTTAGACAAGGTGCAGGGGGTTCAGGGTGGTTTGTACGTCTGCTTCAGTCAAGATGATTGAGTTGAGTTTTCAAGGCCTGGCTAGACTTGAGTCCAGTGGAGCAAGATAAACGGTGAGGGATGCTCAGGGTTCGTCGGTTCGAGGGCCCAGGGATTGAAGCACGGTTCGATGTCCAAGGCTCCCCGAGGAGCATATGGCAGGGCACGCGCGCGTATGTGGTTTTGACATTTGCGCGCACACACACACACACACACACACACACACACACACACACACACACACACACACACGCATGCAGTGGCCCAAGGTCTACATGTTCACTTCTCAGTAGTCAGTTCCCGGCCACTCTTCTTCTCAACTTCTTTTTGGTCAGTCATTGTTGAAATCTTTCGCTCTTTCGTTCGGATGGTTGCAGTTGTACCTCTGTTTGCCTGGATCTCAGCCACGAGATGAAGCTTCCGACATCGGATGTTGACGGAGTGATGGACCTGCTTTGACTCCGATTCTGAGATTCTGATGAAGCCGTGTTCCAGGCGAGATGTGGGAGTCTGTCCTGCAGCCCCTTGGCATCTCGAAGTGGCAGTTGCTTGAAGGCTCAAGTTCCGATGACTGTGTCTTGCTGCATGCACTCGTTTCGCGGGAGTTGATATGAGCAATGGCGGCAGTATACTGGCACGCAACTTGTTCACCTTTGAGCCAAGCCTAGATGGTGCGGACGCACAGCGGAAGAAACCAAGTCCGATATTGTCATTGCATGCAGATCAGCAGAGCGCCAGCAACCCGACTGCCCCAAGACAACGCAACAGGCTATTCGATTCGTCGATTCAGACCTTGCGCAGCTCTGCTTGTGATGAACAGGCAGGTACTGTAGCGTTGATCGTGCCAGGACCAGGGTATTCGGATCGGGTGTTGTGCCGTTGTCGACGGATAGCTGTTGATGCTGTGGTCTTCCGTGTTGTTGCGCTTGAATTAAATCTAAACCACAGGGCGAAGAGTCCAGATGCTCTTCCGGGTTGAAGGTGCATGCTGTGCCCTGAGTCCTGTAATATAGAAAGGAAACCAAGGTTTAGAAGGCCTCGGATGCCGAAGTCGCAAGACCAGGCTTCTTGGGCCGCCCTGGTCGCCGCGGCTGCAAACGCATTGATCCTTGGGCCTTAGGGTTCACGAAAACATCACTATGCAAGCGTGCCTCACCCGAAGCCCACGAACTCGACTGCACCAACGATCGTCCGGATGGTCAGTCAAGAACTCCGGACTTTGTGGTGTAGGGTTTCGGCCGAAATCCCAAACCCACTGACCCCAAACCCAAAATTTTTGACTGGAATAGTAATGCCACGCAATTTGAAATTACCGCAAACACCTCCATAGGTAATTGCAATGACAGCCCTCACTTAGAAATGGGCTGTTGCAGCCCTTCACTGGGTTGAATATTGCAGCCCTTCACTGGGTTGAATAATGGAAGTTCTTATTATAGCTACAGTTGCTCCTAGACCCCACTCAACCCATGAGGGCGGCTTATATAGTGTGTACAGAGGGTTTAGGACTTAGGAGCTTGAAAAGGACTAGGACCCAGAGTAGGCCCTTATTCCTTTTTTTAGGGTTTAGGTTCCCTTATAACCCCCTCTAAACCAAAAAGGGCACCCTTTCCATTCCTAGGTTACTCGTAGGTCTAGAGGAGCTTGAACCAGGATTCTTCCTGGGGAGTCGGCTGCCGCCAACCTGGAAGCCGCGCTTGGCGGCCTGGGCGCCAGCAGCGAGGAGGAGAGGGGGCTCCGTAGGATGTAGGGTTCATTTTGGGTTTAGGGTTTATATAGGGTTTAGGGTTGTTGTGACTCTGTTTCGTTGGTGCTCTAGGGTTTTGTGGATTGTGTATTTGGATGTTCAGGCCTTTTTGGGTGGTGTTTAGGGTTTAACGGGGACTTTGAAGGGTGGAGGGGTATTATGTAGGGTTGCGGGTCTTGTAAGCGTGGGGACTTAGCAGTTATAAGTAAAAGGACTTGGGGCCTTAAGGGTCGGGTGGTGTGGTGTGGGCTTTGGGCTGTTGCGCTCCTCATCTTACGAAGTACTCTGCTCTTGAACCGTATTTTTTCTAAACTCCATGCCAGCCCACAACCCCCCCTTATGCACAAGCAAAAACCCAAAACTTTCTGACGCAAAAATCCTGAGGCCACTGACGCCCTAAACTCTAACAGCCATTAAACCGTGAACCCTATAAACCCTGCAAGCCTTGTAAGCCTTACACTACACACCCTATATATAGGCCGCCTCTAGAAATTACATAACAAAGCAGAGGTATGCATGAGTAAGAGATGTATACACACATATATGCATATGAGCCCGAAACTTCGGTAGGTAGCCCGGCTGCTTCGCAGCTGGCCTCGGCCCGTCCGCCTTGAGGCGAAGCAGCGCCTCCTGGTGGCAAAAGCGATAGCTAAAGCAATATCAATGAGAATAGGACACGGCTCTGCTTGTCGGGATGAGGAAGCCTGGTTGTCTGAGGACTAGAGGTCGTCCAGGCTTCTCTTCTGAGTGAGAGAAGGAAGGAAGCGTTTCTAAAGAAATGCAGTGCAGTATATAACAAGTTATTTGAATCTAAGTGCGGCAGCCATCGATAATAGAATGCTCGGGGTAGGCTTATGGTGAATGGTTTGAGTTCCGTGAGAGGGTGTTTCATGGTTTGAGCGCCTTCGCAGGCATGGGGTGTCAGCTGTTTAGAACGAGTGGTGAATAGATTTGCGGTGCTATGGAATCCACCATGTTGGGGCTTTTTAGGGCTTCGGGATTGTTTTGGGCTTTGGGGTTCAAGATAGAGTCTTCGCATGTCTTCGCTGTGATCTTTTCGGGGCTTCAGGGTTTGGCTTTTAGGCCTTACCTGGAACGCCGCAGTGTATTATAATTAGTATACACTCCAGAAAGTTGCAATCATTCATATACACTAACCATAGTGGGCGCTTATTCTAGTCACCAGTGAAAGTGGCTGATTTCATGTTCAGACATGAGTGAGCTGAGCTTCACTTGCAGGATCAAGCTCATGTTTTTCCCAGCAGCATCGAGGTATGCTCGTGAAACACAAGCTCTGAAGCGCCGGAAAGCATGTCAAAACTACATATAGCGCACAATTCATATGACATATAGTATGTTGCACACCAGCTTCGATCCGACATGCCTCCGGATGCCCAGCTCATGCCACCTGGCAGGAGCGAGGGGTCTCGTTTTGCTTGGTGGCAGCAGGGGTTTCTCCATCGCATGGGTTTGCAGGACAGTGTGCTGGTGAAGGCCGACTGAAGTTGGTATGATCGAGCTTGCCACACTTGCCTGTTTATCAAACATTGCTCTGTGCACGGTTCGTTGGTCCCGCCGATTGTGCGCAGTGCAGCTTCTAAGTGCTGTGTGTATGTGCAGTTTCCGCATGCAGGCATTTTGCCCAGCTCTTTGCGCTTTTGTGTTTCTAGAACTCCATCCGGCATGGAGATCGGATCCCTCGCGAAGTTGTGGGAAGAATGCGCCAGCATTCGATCTCGCTTCAGGCGCTCGCTCCCTTGGTTGCAGTGGCCTCTCCCAGGAAGCCCAAAACCGGGCAAGGAGCCGAACGAGAAGGGCAGAGATCCTCACATGCCGACGACGAGGGGAATCGAGCTTAACTCTGAGATCCTTGCAAAGACGCTCCAGTGGTGTGAACTGGAGTTTTTGGACATCCACCGGCTAGAGCTGGAGGACTATCAGTCGAAATCGTGAGCATTTCCAGTTATGCTGATTATGTTATGGTCGTTGGCCGTTCATATATAGCATAAACCTCCCAAGGTGACCAAGCTCTTTGAAGAGATGGAGTTCAAGCCGAAGCCGAATCAGGCTCATTGGGATGCCTGGGATCTGAGACGACTTTGGTCGTTCATGTGGCGTCGAAGTCTTGATGCCACGAAGAGGGGCCAGCATCCCCGGGACCGTGCTTGTCATCCAGGGGGGGATGGGGTGAACCATGTAATTGAAACGAGATTTAAATCTCTTCTCTATATTGACATCCATATATATATATATATATATCTCTCTCTCTATATATATATATATATATATGAATTGGGGTTCTTTTTTCGTATATATCTTTTTCTGTGTACCACATGCACCCTACAACCCCATTATAAACCCTAGAAACCCTAAAACAAACATAACGGCGAGGACCCAAAGGTGGCGGAGCTCTTTCGCCTTGTGGAGCTCAAACGTGCTGAGTTTGAAGCCCGGGCAAGGATGGATGATGACGAGATGGCGGCCGAAGATGATGAGGAGATGTTTGAAGCAGATGCTGGTGATGAGCCGGTGGGTGATGAGACGGCCGGTGATTCTGCAGCATCGGCTGCAGATGTTGCTGCTGATGCTTCGATGCCTGAGGAAGCCCCGCCGGATGCTGAGATGCCAGCCCCTCCGCCACCGGTGCACCGACACAGGAGCAAGGTTTCGGCTCTCAGCCTTCGGACCGACTCTGTGGCATCGATTGAAATGCCCACGCCCTCCTCAGCCATCGACATGCGGGACCTGCCCGAGATGACCCCAGAGCAAATGAAAGAGCTAGAGGAAGTCCTGTCCCAGATCCGTTCAATGCAGCTTGAGTTCGCCCCCAAGTTTGTTCGTTATATGCATTGAGAGCACTGTTGTGATAAACCCAACAAAATCATGATCATAGCCTTCGACTCAACTCTTGGGCCCAAGGCAAGAATCTGCGACCCCTGTAGGGGACTGTTCGAAAGCTTGCTTCCCCGCAGGCTCGCCGTTGCTGGTTTCCAGAAGCCGTGTCGTTCAACTTTAGGTTGCTCCAAGTGTGTTTGTTTTTTTAGGAAGTGTGTGCAATGAATGTCGTTTGGGATGAGTGTGTTGGAACCCTTTTGGGCTATAGGGTGTTTTTATAAGCTTTGGGGTTTGAAGTGTTCGTATTTCTGTACGGAAAGTTAGGATAGAGGTTTACAACAATCTGGAATAATGAGTTTGCAATAGGGTTGGCTGGCAATTTCAATATTTGACTGCCGTTTGGTCGTGATGGTTGCCATGATTCACTATAGAAGCCCGAGTGTGTCTGTGTGTGCTTCACCTGTGCTAGGCGCTTCTGATGAGCCGACCCCCGCCACGACGGCTGGCCCAGATGATGCTACTGGGAAACGATTTGTTTGAAGCTGTATGGATTTCAGGCCATGTACGTGGCACAAGCAGCCATCATAAGCCGAGGTTGAGACACAAGTGTTGAATGAGCCCTTGGAAGCTCCGACTCCGGCGGCATCCGAGAGCCACCCCCCGACTACGGTTGCTACACCAAGCCCGGCGAAGATTGAGCCTCCTCAGGAAACCCCCGAGAAGGCAGGAGTGCCCCAACCTGTTTCAACATAATCCAATTTCCTCCCGAACAGAACACCTCATGAGCAGGTCGAGAAGCTGAAGATCACCGTGACACCGGCTGATCAGATCGACAAGGCTGCATCCAAGCGTGTGAAGAACAAACGTGGCCCCGGCAAGCGCAAGGGCAAGAAGGCTGCATGCGAGGATGACGAGAATGACGAGGAGGTCAACGGTGAGTTGGACGAGGACGAGGCGGCCACCGGTAGTGGCGCGGATGGCGAGCACGAGAAGAAGGACGATGATGAAGAGGAGGAGGCTGATGAAGAGCCAGCAGCCAAGACGGCCCGCAAGCCCAAGGCCACACCGAAGGCGAAAGCCAAGGCTTCGGCTAAAGCTAAGGCCAAAAGCAAGGCCAAAGCCAAAGCCAAAGCCAAGGCAAAATGCAAGGGCATGGCCAAGGACAAGCCGACTGCCAAGCCGAAGGCCGAGACGATCAAGAATGACACCGAGGAGCCCAGCGAGACCGAGGTTCTGGGTGCAAGCGTGAAGCAACGCCGTGTGGACCTGGCCCCTCGCCGCTGGGTCTATGAGATCTTGGAGGAACAGACCTACGGTTGCGCCGGCTGCAGGTTTTTGTACGGTGGTTGCGGGAGCTGCCTTCGAAAAGGCTCCTTCCGCGGAAAGGGCCCCCACGACTTCGCAGCGAGCGACGAGTACGTGAGAGCCTTGGCAAAGCTTGACGCCGTGGTGGAGGAGCGGCCGGCAAAGCGCCGGCGTGGATCCCCCAACGATTCGTGAGACTGGCTCGATGGTCTGTTCGTCATCCAGGCCACTCGTTGTGATTAGTGTGATTTCATGCTATGTGACCCGAGACAGTTGATGCATATTACAAATGTGTGACTGCATTAGATTCGTGCTGCTGGGCATGCCCTCTGATGCCAAAGAGATCATTGTGTCTTTCCAACTATACAGCTCTCATCAGCGACACACTTCCACAGTAGTTTCCCTTTCAATCGTCTAGCACCCACCTCGATCTGGAATCCATTTTTAAGCCTCGCCGGCTGAGGTATGGCAGCATCCACCGATTCAGCGGCCCAGCCGTGGCCTTTGCCGCGCAGAGAGCTGATGATTTTGACACAACGTTGAAGTTTGACACGGGATGGGCAGGGCTAACCTTGCCTGGGCATCCTCCATCACTGCTTAGTTTGGTCCACAGGCTTTGCTGTTTGGTCTTCGAAACCTATGTACGGGGTAATCATAGGAGTGCCATCATGATGCCGTCATTGTAGTCTACATTCTGTAGGACGAAGCCTGTATGGATTGTTGCAGTGAGGATCTAGATTTCATGATCATATGTGCTGGGGAAGATGTTTGAAGTCTGACGCACATCGTCGAATCGGCCGTTCAGTGTGGCAAAAGACCGATCTACTTGCAAATGCATCGCAAGCACTTTCAATCCTGCTGCTGAGTAAACTCACTCTCCCCAGTCCCTCCATCCTGCCTTCCTGCCAGGTCCGACGTTTTCGCAACGATGAGCATTGCCTGGCGAAAGCGCAGGCACGAGGAGGAGGTGGGATCAGGTGACCCCCCCTGCACCGATGCTGCCACTGCCTTCTGTGCCTCAAGTTGAGCCGTGCATGTTTCTGCTCTGAATCTACAGTCTGTGTGTGCAGCCATCAGTGGAGGGTTCGTGTGTTTTCTGGGGTTTAATCATGGCAATGGCCGCTGAGAAGTTCCATAAGCTCTTGCAACAGCTATGGGCCAGTGGAGCTCCGGGAGTCCTTCGGATGAAATTCAAGATTTCTGACATGTCTATGAATATGTACGTATGAGTGTGTGTATATATATAGATATGTATATGTCTGTATATTCACACATACACACATGCTATATGTATGTACATATATCAGTATCGTCGAAAAGAACCCATATGTATAATTCGTAACAGAAAGCTCCTGTGTATGTATGTATGTGTATATATATGTTACATATTGCTATACATGAATGTGTGTCTGTATGAACATGAGAATTGGTGTACACATGTAACACACACATATATATACATATATGTGTATATATATACACACT